TGGCAGCCCAAGGAGGGAAAACAACTCCCAAGAGACCATTCGCCATGGCGATGCATGAAGCAATGTTGCATCACAAAACCGTGAGAGATGGCCATGGAATGGGGGGGGGGGGAGGCCTTCATCCAGCAGTGGAGTGATCATGGACGATATGGCAGTACAGCAAGTGGGCTGCGTGGACCCAGCAGCGGCGAAGTCTTCGAGGATGATTCTCTCAACACGCATGCTGGATTTTCTCTGCATCCTTCAGTTATCTCCCACACAGGAGACAAAACTCTCATCATATATATTATCATCACGACAACAACAAAACATACGCTTGGACAAAAAATAAACAGCCAATGCGCTCTCCGCCCGCCCTGCCCTGCGGTGGCGTTGGATTTAAGGAAGGTGAAAACTTCGTAATTGCCTGGACAAACAACACTTGGCAGGCTGGGCCATGGGGAGGAGTCACGGTACGCAGCGTCCTTCCCGGCAGTGAACATCGCCCTTGACGTAGGTTGACAGCGAAGCCACCACGCCATATCGCGTGTATTCCTGACATCGGGTTTATGTAGCACCCGGTCAACCCCTCCCCATAAAACGCTCTCTCCACCACCACCAACGCCGTCGCTGTGGAGATCTGTACAACCTTAGTCGAATTACCGTTAGCGATGAGAGGACATAGATGAAGACGCAGAGAGAGAGAGAGAAAGGTCAGACACGAGAGAGAGAGACACGCAAAACGAGAGACACGCAGAGATATAGACACAGAGATAGACAGGAAAGAGAGATAAACAGACATGGAGGCAGAAATGGACGCAGAGACATGGAGAGAGATGGATGTGAAGAGAGACACGGAGAGACACAAACACAAAGACCCCCCTCTCCTCCATATAGCCTTAACATACTTTTGGTGCAAGTGCTGTTAGCGAGCACCTATGAAGGCCTGCACGGCACACAAGGGGGTGGGTGGCCAACACCACGCCCGGTCGCCTTTGTCTTCCCAGTGGCGATGTTTACACACCGCACCAGGTACTCATTTGAGTCGACCTAGGGGAGGCCCACGACTAGTTCAGATAATCGTCACCGGTGGGGAATCGAATTCGTGTCACCGGGTTCATTGCGCAGCACGCTGACCATTACACTACTGCTCCCCACAAATACAAACCACATGGGGAAAGACACAGGCAGGGATTGACACAGAAACAGAAATACAAATATATACACGATGTGAGACGAATGCAGCGATACCAGAGAGACATTGAGACAGACACAACATAGAGAAACAGACAGGCACACACAGAAAGACACAGGTGAAAACTAGCACGTCCAATGTGGTACACACAGAAATACCGAGACTAAACTTTGAAAAAATACAGAATTGCGAGTGGCCCAAATAAGTGGAGGTCTCTGTCTGCGCGCACACTCATACAGAATCAGAATCTAGATTCAGACTGGAGGAATCCGATAAGCTATGAGGCTCTTTTTTCACAGATGTCCATGATGGGCAGGGGTCAGCGAGTCACAACAGCAAATCAGCGAGTCACAACAACAAGATCTATGGCGCTGACTACACAGACGGAATTCCACTCTTGTGACAACTTAATTCAGCTGGAAATGACCACAGAGGCTTGAAAGGGGAGAGAGCTTACACGGGAGTCTGCGGGATCCTTATACGATCGAGCCAAGGGGGTGGTGGGGGGGGGTCCTATAGCCACAGTATAACCGCAGAGTTCATTCGTTGGATAACAAAATATGCAATAACAACCATGCGACTGACCCACCATGCCTCGCATGTCACGTGACATCACTCCATCGTCCACACAGCATTGTATGTAGACCGTCAACAGGTCAAAACTGTCGCCCTATTATCTTTGACAGCGGCAGCGTGTTCATTGGAAAAACTGTGCTATACCAGTTCCACACCTGTCAACCTGTAGGGTCTAGCCGTATTCTTATACAGGGACGTTGAGTTTTCAGGTCCATACGGTGTACAGCCATTTCAATACGGGTAAAATGAAATAAAACATGTCTGTGTTTCTTCCTTATGGTGGGACTTTGTAAGATGAACGTTGAAATGTATAAGGGGCACGGGGCGACCAATACGGTCTGAATTGGTCTGTAATTAGGGAGGGCACTGATAATGTTTGACAGGCGTGCACTCCGTTACCGACAGACGGACAGGGCCAACGCATTAACGCTTCGTGTGAAAGCGTTTCAAACTAACGAGTCATCAGGAGAGTAACCTCAATAGACGTGCAACGCTGGTCCAGCATTGGGTCAACAGTTACCCAAACACATGACAACGTTGAACCAACCCAGTCAACGTGCAACATTGGGAACACTGGCCCAACGTTGGACCAGCGTTGGCCCAACGTCGGCCCAATGTGCCACGTTGACTGGGTTGATCCTCGTTGTCTACTGCTACCCTGTGCCTCGCGGGCAGGAGGGGGGGTCTTCACGTGATCAGCATCGATATAGTCTGACAGCTGCCTAAGGGCGGCATTGAATGAATGCTGCCCATACAGGCTGTTCTCCTATAACGGGGTAGTAGTTACATTCCTAACCAACACCGCGTTATTGAACAAAAAAATCGCGTTATAATAGATGATATATATATATATAAACATAGGGTAAAGTATAGTCCGTGATAACACGTGAGATGCGTCACCCAGGCCGCACAAAGACCGAGGCGCGTGGGTAGCTTCTAGAAGCATCCAGCAGCATCCCGCTGCCTCGTGCGATGGGAAGCCGAGACAGCCGTTCAACCGCCTATTCCTACTCGCGCGGCGTAGTTCTGTTCATTCGATAGCGTTATATCAACTCCGCATCCGCGTTTAAAACAAAAATGTGTTCCCGAACACATTGATCATCGCGTTATATCCAATTGGCGTTATGAAAACAAAATGCGGCGTTATAGGAGGACTGTACCCTTTTCTTTGTAAGCGAAGGAGGAAATCCTCGCTTCCAGCCTGCGACTCGCCGTTTTTGTCCGATGAGGTTTCTCATCGTTTGTGCCAGCATTTGTCCTTAGACTCGTGGGCTCCAATCGCATTCGGCCACCCCACCACCCCCATGCATCGACCAATGCCAGATTAACTCTGTAAACGAGGTACAAAACGCATTTTTGGCTGATGGAAAAACAATTCTTGCGGAGCATTTTAAGCGTTTTATCAGCCTGACATTGTGGAACGTATCCTTGTGTGTCATTTCAGCAACTCGTCTCTCCTGTAGCCGCACACACAAACGGTAGGCGCAAGGGTTAGATAGCGATCGCCTGTTGTGACTCTTGTTGTTGCCATCCGCAAATTCGTCAACCACACGAGAGATGTTGGAGAACGTTTCATAACCTCATCCCCCCCCCCCCCCCCCCCCGATGCTTCAAAAGAACCCTGGATTGTTAATCCGAGTCTCTTTCACAGAGCTCTAATTAAAACGTTTCTTCGTGACCACCATACAACGTCGCTTTTTGGTTTTGAGTTGTGAATTTGCCGTTCTCTTTTAGCCGTGTTATATAATTTTAAACCCCCTAACAAAAAACAACAACAAGGAACGTATTTAGCCTTAACGGGGCCTCTCTTATATGTAACCAACCACTTGAGTCTTGTGTGTATATCACAGCACGGTGGTGCACGAGACGGGTGCTGTGATGATCACCACCTGCACGCTTCGTCTCTCCAGTAGTAACATTGACACGCTTCTTTGGCCAGTCGTGGAGGGCGAAATCGACTCGGGGGAGACCCAGGTCACACTGGGTTACAATCGCTGTTGGTGATGTGCTTCATCTCGACCGCCATCAATACAAAGACAAAGATCCCCGTATAGCCTTAATATACTGTTGGGACAAGTGCTGTTTTCTGAAGGCCGGAAAGGCACACGACGGGGTGGGTGGCCGCCTTTGTCTCCCTAATGGCGATGTTTACACAGCGCAACTACCATCACCGACACAACCACCACCACTACAACCATCAACAATCAAATCACCACCAGAAACACTACCACCAATATAACCAATACCGCCACCATCAGCATTACCATCAAACAAAGACAAAGGTTCCCTCTATAGCCTGAGCAGACAGTTGGGGCAAGTGCTCTTAGCGAGCACCTATGAAGGCCGGCACAGCACACGAGAATGTGGGTGGCAACACCACGCCCGGCCGCCTTTATCTCCCCAGTGGCGATGTTTACACACCACACCAGGTACTCGTTTGAGGCTGAGACGATCTAGGGGAGGCCCAGAACCGGTTCAGACAATCGTCACCGGTGTTGGCCGTGAGCGGGAATTGAACTCGGGTCACCGGGTTCGTAGCACATCGCTCTGACCGCTACACCACCGCGCGCACCAGCACCACAAACACCACAACCATTACCACAACGAGCATCTCCACCACGATTATTACCATGACTATAACCACCAACACCATCATTACCAACACGACACACACACCACCAGTATGACCATTATTATCAAAGCCAGCAGCGACACCACCATTTTACCATAATCACCAATACCACCACCATAAAACACCACGACCACCACCCTCACCACAATCGGTCATCACGACCACCAACAACCACGACTACAACCATCACAACTAGCACCAATACAATGAGCACCACCACCAAACACGAGCACCATCGCTCCAACTATACGACGAGCATCCCCCATACCCGAACAACACCACGGCACACAAACATCAACCTCCATTCCCTATCACTAACCACAACCACCACAGCCACCACAACCACCACAACTGCGCTCATGCAGCTCTCGCAGCGCGCACGGGGCGGGTACCAACAACATCATCATCAGCAGCAACATCATCATCAGCAGCAGCAAGTTCGCTTCCGAGCAAGGAGCGCGTCATTTCTCAATAGCCTCATGCATCATGAATGAGAGGGGAGTGCCAGGGAGTTGCTGCCCGCCAATGGAGTTGCGCTGCTGGGAAACACACCCCAACAGCCCTGGAACTGAGCTTTTTTTTGCGGCTGCTGCCGCTGCCCGGTGGTGCTTAGCGCAGGCTGTCATCGACTTCAAAGCGCGGTGTCAGACTTGCGCTACTCGCTGCTTGACTACCCAACCACCAGCAGCACTACCTACCACTCACTCGCGTGGTTGAAGGTGTGTGTGTGTGTGTGTGTCTGTGTGTGTGTGTGCGTTGAGCAAGCCCAACCGTGAGATGAAAACATTTCTTCTCTGAAAAGTTGTCGCCGATGAGACGGAGGCAGCGGCGCGGGAAGGTTGTGAGAGAGCCAGGTGAGCGAGCTGAGAGGCGAGAGTGATTTGAGTTTGCGGCGAGTGAGTGACCGAGCCAGCGAGTGAAGCGTGAACGATGAGTGGAGGAATGTGGCAACGGCGCTTGGCTCGGGGAGGCATTGATACAAACTAACAGAAGCTGCAACGTTATTGTAATAGACGACGTTTCGAGCAATAGCCCTTCATTTGCCTATTATGTGTATAGTAGTTGCTTTTAGCAGTGATATTAAGGAATGTGTCTATTTTTGTAAACTTGTGCTTATGCACAACTGCCAACGCAGTACTGTAATCATCGTCGTCATGTCGTGTTCTATCCACTGCTGTGTGAATACGTCCCTTGCGGTGACGCCACGCTTCAAGGCGTCTCGCTCCTCCTTGCACGCGAGCCGATCTCGCCGTCGCTCCATCTCACACGGTGGTCGTCTCCCCCTGGACGCATCCTCCCCTCCTTTGCCCGCCACTCCGTAGCCAGCCTCGTCCGCCGGCCATCGTTACCCCCCCCCCCCTTTCTATCCATTGGCGTACCTCTGTCTGCCTGTCCGTCTGCCTGTCCGTCTACCTGTCCGTCTGCCTGTCCGTCTGCCTGCCCGCCTGTCTGTCTGCCTGCCTGTCCGTCTGCCTGCCTGTCCGTCTACCTGTCTGTCCGCCTGTCTGCCTGCCTGTCTGTCTGCCTGTCTGTCTGCCTGTCCGTCTGCCTGTCCGCCTGTCCGTCTACCTATCTGTCTGTCCGTCTGCCTGTCCGCCTGTCTGTCTGTCCGCCTGCCTGTCTGTCTGTCCGCCTGTCTGTCTGTCCGTCTATCTGCCTGCCTCCCTGTCTGTCTGTCTGTCCGCCTGGCTGTCTGTGTCTGTCTTTCCGCCTGCCTGTCTGTCTGTCCGCCTGTCTGCCCAAGCCCCAACGACCGCTCTCAACGGCCACCCACGAAGTCGCGACCTCGTGTCCGTTCTCCGATCCGCGCGTCCCGTTTCTCTCTCTCGGTGCCCACATCTCCCCCGTTCCATTTGTGTCTTTTCAGCTCTTGATGGAATTGTCTTTGGTCAGCGTTCACGCGCCGTCCGATCCATGCCACAGTGGGTGACGTTCACTGATTGAACACGGCTGTTGGTAAGGTGCACATTTGGTACATTGGAAAAAAATGTGTAATGTAGATATCAAATTCAAAGTCTCCGACAGCAACTCCGAATCGCTCGTCGCGTGTGCTCACCGCGCGTCTTCGCCACGAGTCAGCCCCTCCGCAGACAGAGACATCCACGCACTCGCACGACGTCGTCTTTCCAATTGCGTCTTTCCGACAATTCTTTTGTGAAATTTGTTCGGCGGATTTCGCTGTGCGCTACGTGCGGCTTGTATGTTGTTTACATGAGCGAGTCATACTTTTTTGTAAGAATTACCATTAATAATGAACACATGCATTCGCGGCTGTCGTGTTAAGGCTAGTCGCGCGCTTTTTTCTCTCTCTCGAGGGATGCTGCTCCTCGCCGAGTCTCGACTCTTCTTGATTGCGAGCCTCAGACCCGTCTCTCGTGTCGAGTTGTTTGGCCAGTTCCATTGTTCAAGAAGTCCCCCCCGTTGCGTTTCTTCCTGTGCGAGTCTCATCGCCTCGTATCTGCGTGGTGCGGTTTCTCCAGCCACTGACCACGTGAAACGAAGCACTCTTTGAGCGATGTTGGTCAAACATCCCGATGTAGCAGGACCCTCCTAGGAAGAGTCCTGAGACTCCGTGAGGCTTTCTAAGATGAATATAACTCTTGGCGTATTCCGCGAATTATAAGACGCCCTCCTCCCCAACACCACCGCCACGCTTATTTTAAAGCAACATTTGAGGGTGCGTATTATTATCCGGTGTTTGCGTGCGTGACCAGATTTGTATAACTTTATTGACACGAGGCGCATGTTTGGAGGCGCGTCTGATTTTCCGGAGCGTCTTGTCATCTCGAGCGTCGTGCTGGTGCCATATGGCCGAGGAGCGATCCCTTGCGGGGACGTCATCACTATCGCTATCATTATCTTCATCATCAACACCATCACCACCACACCCCTCCTCGCCCTTATCATCATCATCATTTTTTTAGAAGGAATAAATGGCTGCAATTGAAAACTAATAACCAAAAACGAACACATTTCGGGGTGCGTCTTACTTTCCGATGCGCGTTAATAATCTGCAGAATGCGCTATCGGTGTTTCTCGTCACGCGACGAGTCACGCGCAACCCCGAGCGAGTTGACCATACTCACGATTTGGAGGGGCGGGGGGGGGGTCGCTATTCACCTCTCATGAGTCGACTATCGTTGGGTCCGTCTCGCAGAGATCAGATCGTTCTGTGGCCTCATGGGTTACTGCGTCACCCTCGCGCGCACCCCGACTCGCGCGCGCGCGCGCGGCATTTCACGACTAGCTATTAAGTCTTAACGATGATCAACAAGTGACGGATTATCCTCGTAGCAAGAGTAGCTACAAATGCTACGGGCTCCGCGCTAAATGCTATCAAGCTATCAATTCCGGTTCAGTGATTCTGCAGTTGCTCTATTACTATAGTACTATACTGCCTTCAACTTTTATGAACGGCTGGGTGTTTAAGGTTAGCGATTTGTCGTATTATTTGGCTGTATAGCAAATGAAAAAATACAATTACTTTACTATGCAAGTTAAAAATGTGTGTTTTCATATTTATGTGTTTTTATTAATTTAGGGCCCCTTTATAACATATGCTACATGCCTCGCACTATCTTACTCCGGCCCTGTGATCATCAGCCGCGTGTTGATCATTAAGGGAGTGTTTGTCCATACTTCACCACGCTGGCCGGCGCAGGTTTGTGAAAGGGGTCGGGGGGAGGGAGACGTGGGCGGGTGATAAGCCGAAGGCCGCGGTTCAGATACAACTATCGCCACTGACGTCCTTCGCCTTGCCCGGGAATCAAACTCAGGCTTCCATACTTCACGACGCCGACCAGTGCAGGCTGGTGAAGTGTGAAGGCAGCATTGGTTCAAATAAGACTCGCCACTGATGTTAGCCGTGAGTTGAATTGAATGCCTGCGTTTCATAACGCAGTTTTGCCAGCCACTGCGCCACCTGCTCCCCCCTTACATTGTCACATCTCTCATTGTTGCAGGAGTCTAGAGATTGTCCTGAACACGTAATTAAACGTACAGGCGGTCAGGTAGCTGTATTAATCAAGCATTCACCGATTCACTCCAAGACAAAGAGCCCCTCCCCCCCGTATAGCCTTCACGGACTGTTGGGGCAAGTGCTCTTAGCGAGCACCTTTGAAGGCCGGCACGGCACACGAGGGGGGTGGGTAGCCAGCACCACGCCCGACAGCCGTAGACTCCCCAGTGAAGATGCTTACACAACGCACCCGATACTTATTTGAGGCCGAGTCGACCTAGTGGAGGTTCAGGATCGGCTCAGATAATCGTCACTGGTAATGGCCGTGAACGGGAATCGAACTCGGGTGGCCGGGTTCCCAGGGCAGCACGCTGTACTGATTCACTACGGTCAGTCGCGCACCGACAGAAAGTCGTTTCCATATCGCTCTTCTGTCACTGCTACCGTGGTGACTGCTCCCGTGAACGTCTCTTGTGGATTCCGCCACGCGTGTTGATGTCTCGAGACAGACGAGCATACTGTCTCGCACACATCGTTCTGCGGCCTCCTGGTTCACGGAGTCATCACGTGGATATAAAACAAAATAAATTAAATCACGACGTTTCGGGCGCAACACAAGCGTCCGTTATCAGGTGGGACAACCACAGCCCGCCTCGGCAGTTTTTTCGTGCTGTGGTTGTTCCACCTGATGACGGACGCTTGTGTTGCACCCGAAACGTCGTGATTTTATTGATTTTATTTTATACCCACGTGACTTTACCGAAAGAACCAAAGAGTATGGATCCCTGCAGTCACGAAAACTTCAAATCTAGACTGTCGGTCGCGTGTCTACCGGACTGTTTCGTCGCACCCACCACCCATTATAACAAACAAAACAACTGCAGGTCGCAATAGAATAAAGACAAAGCTCCCCCGCGTAGCCTGTAACAGACTGTTGGGGCAAGTGCTGTTAGCGAGCACCTATGAAGGCCGGCACGGCACACGAGCGGGTAGGTGGCCAGCACCACGCCCGGCCGCCTTTGTCTCCCGAGTGGCGATGTTTGCACACCGCACCGAGTACTCATTTCAAGCTTAGTCGACCTAGGGGAGGTCTATAACCGGTTCAGATAATCGTCACCGGTGTTGTTCGCGAGCGGGAATCGAACCCGGGTTGCGAGGTTCGTAGCGCAGCGCGCTGACCGCTGCACCACCGCTCACCCACTGACTCACCTCACTCACCTACCACACCCTGCAGGTAGCTTCACCTCTGTGTCTCTCTCGCACTGCTCCACTTCGTAATTCCCTCCCAGCGTCTCTTTACCCAAAAGCTCTTCGAACAATAACCTTGCTGACTCTCACGAAACCGTGTCACACTCTTAAATTATACTTCAAGTATCGTTTTTGCCGGTCGCTTAAGCGCGTTTGGACTTTGGACCTGTGTCCAGGAATCGTGATCTTTTTATATATATATATATTTTTTAAACACGCGTACTAATAGGAAGGTGCCTTCTTGATGTCAATTGTTTCGCAGGAAACAATAAAAGAGAAATGATCGGACAGACCCACGCCGTGTTGTGCTGACACATTGCGTTTTTGTTACACGTTCGACCCTGAGCCATCATCACTCGCAAAGACGAAAGACAGCTCGAGGCTGCCTGTCACCCCTGCTGTCACCAACACCTTCACAACAGTTTCACTTCACCAACGCCCAGAATCAGCCAGTGCACAGTTTAAAAATAAAATAAGTTGCAACTCTCCCGTAGCGCGTTTGGTCTGCACGTGTCGCTCAACACCCTTGGACAACAGTGGCACACCCTTGCAAACGATTTGTTCCATCTCGTGGTATTCGTAATATATTTAGCTTCATGATGCGTACTCAAATCCCCAATCTCCCATTAAACTCCACGTGGCGCAAACTGTTTCCTTCTGTCAGGCTCCTCACCCGCAACCATAACCAAGACCACGTGTCTCCAGTAACCTCAATCGCTCCACTGCGTCTCAATCCCATCTTGGAGTCATTTCAAGATGGTATTCGCCCTTCTCAAAAATGCTCCGTGAACTCACCCCTACCTTCATTTCCCCTCGTCTCAAAATACTCGCCTCCACGCACCCTCCTACCTCTCTCTTCACTCTACTCCCCTCCAGGCGCTCACCTACATCTCCCCTCTCTCGTCTTACCCAACTCCCCTTCACGCACTCTCCCCTCCAATAACCAAAGCTTGCCGCTCAGTAGAGGTAGACCACCAATTTTCCTTAGCTGCACCCAAAAGTCTGGAAACTCATTTCTCCCAGCCTCAAGCCCTTCCTTATTTTCCCCTCTCTATGTGACTGCCTCCCTCCCTCCCCCTCTCTAAAAATGAATAAATGAGTCCACTGTGTCTGCGCAGCGTCTCGAGATGAGGACGCATTTCGACGCCGCTCTGCAAATCGCAAGATGCAATGCGAATTCAGGGTCGCCCGTGCGAGAAGTCCTCTGGCTCTTTGAAAACGTCGCGTGCGTATTGTGGGTGGATGTTCATAGCGTCGCATTATTTCACGGTCCCCTCTTTTCAACTGCAGAGTCTCAGTTGTTTTTCGACGGATCTCTTTAATGCGACACAGCGCCTCGCTTGGCTGCTCGGTAGATCGTTTGTGGCGGGACCGGTTCCCGCAGGCGAGTGAGATTGCTTAGTGGCGGCGTGATGCTGATGGGGGCGACCAATGCAGAGATGCTGAATAGCCCAGTAGCAGCTACAAGCTGATGATGGGATATTGACAGCACAGTCTGTAAATCCTGAATAGATAAACACGTTGGCTGGCGAGGTTTATAAACAAGTTATATTAGCAGGCGTATATTTGTTATTTGCATCATTCTTATCGAGCCATAATATCGCGAAGGCGCTGTGCATCAACATACACGTGTCGTCTGCAGTAGATTCACAGTTGTTCTGTCATCACTATATGCTTGCTTGTCCGGGAAAGCCTCGCTGGGAGTCTCAAGTCTAATTTTCAGAATGGCCCTGCCACATGTTCGCAGTCGGGGTGCGATGCTGCTGCTGCTGCTGCGTGTTTCCAATTGAGTAGATTTGTAGGTATTAATTCTCGCTTTGGGATGGTTTGGCGGATACCAGTTATAGGACATGTTTTTTTCTTAAGCGAAGTTTGCGATGTGGCTCCAACCAGTTGGGTTAATGATGTATGACCGGGGCGATTTCTGCCAAGCCTGGGTGACCACAATGCATTTAAATCACAAGGTTGTCATAGGCCTGCAGAGAAAATACATTGTTTGAATGTCCTCCTACCCACCTCCGATTAGCACGGTTGGCTTCGTACGGTGCGAAATAAGTTCAACGTACACACGTACATGCTGCCACGTCTATGCTTCCCGCCTTCACCAACCCGCGCGGACCAGCGTGGTGAAGTATGGTCAAAAATAACCCACGACCCGCGCAGGGGAGTTCCTAATTTGACCCAATTGACGCTTCCCTGGGTACAGTACAGTGATTACTTTCATTACCCTATTCCCCGGTGTATAAGGCAATACAAAATGTAAGACGCACCTCACAAATTGTGGCCCATGTCATTAACAAAATACTAATTATGTTCCACACCTATCGGATTATAAGACGAGCCCCAAAATTGGAGGCGCGGGGGGGGGGGGACGTTAGATAATCCGGAGAATTACGGTTGTACTTACACCAAATACAAATATCCCCCGTATAGCCTTGGGGCAAGTGCTATTAGCGAGTAGTAGCACCTATGAAGGCCGGAACGTTACTCGAGGTGGACGAGTGGCGAGCACCACGCCCGGCCGTCTTTGTCTTCCTCGTGGCGATGTTTTTCCACACCGCACCAGGTACTCATTCGAGGCCGAGTCAACCTCAGGGGAGGTCCAGGACCGCTTCAGATAATCGCCACTGGTGTTGGTGGCCGTGAGCGGGAATTGAACTCGATTGGGCTTAGTTTGTAGAGCAGCGCGCTAACCGCTGCGCCACCGCTCCCCACTGTCTTCACGTCCCCCGCAGTGACAAAGGCGATTGTTTGCCACACAAAGCCAACGTTGTTCGCCGTTGTCTCGCCTGCCACGAGCAAAAAGCAATATAGGAACAACTCCATTCGGTCTCCACCCCCCTCCACCCCCATATATGTGAGGGATGTTAAACGACAACCGCGAAAACCGGTAACCGTTTCAGAACCGGTAACCGTTTCAGAACTGATCACCGTTTCCAGTGGAACGTGGGCGGCGAGTCACCGATGGGGACCCTCGGTGACTCGGGGCGACTCGGGGCGACTCGGGATGACTCGGGATGACTCGGGGCGACTCGGGGCCGCGTTTCTTTAGTTGCGCGGTGAAGGCATTGATCGTGGAATGATTGCGTCACCGCTGATGGTAGGGCCTGCACTCGGGGGGCAGGGGCGCCTCTAGAGAAACCCCTCCAGGAGGGGTATTTGGCCTACTCTTCCACGCTGGCCGTGTTGTGAGAAGGGATGGGCGCACACCCACAAGTAGCTACGGGCCCCGCACTTTCAAGGGTCCCGCGCTAAATGCTTTCAAGATATCAATGCCAGCTCGGTGATTCTGCACTCACTCTATTACTATAGTACTATACTGCCTTCAACTTTTATGAACGACTTGGTGTTTAATGTGATCGATTTGTCCTATTATCTGGCCGTATAGCAAATGAAAAAATACAATTATTTTACTATGCAAGTAAAACATGTGTTTTATTTTTTGTTTTTTTAAATCAGGACCATTTTATAACATATGCTACACTAGCTTAATCCGGCATTGTTGCGAGTGAGATCAGAAAAACAGCCGCGCCATCCCCCACCACTTGCCCCGTACCTCCGAATAGCGCGGTTGGCGACGTACGGTGCGAAAGAAGTTCACGATACATGCATGCGATGACCGACGTGATGAGGTATTGCCCAAACAATAAAGACAGTTGACCGACAATGCAAGGGTGAATTGTGCGCGGCTGGAATAAAAACATCGACAAAGATGTAGGCGTCGCTAAAAGAGTTCGCAAAGAAGCTTGCAGCGAGGAGACGCATTCTTTGAATTGCACCGAGACAGGGAAGGGGAACAAATACGTTCGACCGAGAGAATGTTACTCTTATATTGACTTAAGGCAACCCAAAAAAAACTCCACCGATTCATCAATAACACTGCCTTAAAAGGAAATATATATAACGGGCGACGCATGGTGCCTTCTCCATAGCAGACGCAGAGTGAGCGGTCTTGGGCAGGAGAAGGGCTATTGAGGGTATTTGGCCTACTCTTCCACGCTGGCCGCGTTGTGGGAAGGAGCTGGGCATACGAGACTGGTCATGTATCGGACAAGCCCTCGGGAGGAGACGGAGCGATGAAATCGACTCCGGTGTAGAAGCGACGTGGATTATGGCATCTGCTGCTTTAGTGGAAGCCTCCTCTCACGCCGTCCTCATCCCTACTGAAGTTTGCCGTCACGTGACAAAGCACGGACTCGCGGAATTGGCAAAACATCCCAGCGCGGAACACTCTTGAAACAAAGTCTATGATCTCGATCACCCAAGTTAGATTCCCAGCCATGCCTGACATCATTGGCGGGCGATAGCTAAACCGGTCCTACAGCACCTACCCCTCCAAAAACCCGCACAGAGAATCGTGGTGAAGTATGGTCAAACAACGACGGACACGACTTGGAAGGTCTTTGTGTAGCCGTAGACTATCTAAGTAATGCACATTATTATGTAGTTATAAGTTAATACGTGCGAATACACACACGTATTAAGCATATCGACATTTTGGTCGTCTGCCTCCCTCCCCTAACTCCCTGCAAACTATTGCTCCCGCCACCATCATCACCGCCACGCATGTCATCATCATCATCCATACCTTAAACAGCCGCTCCTCCATCCTTCCATCCATCCATCCTCCCCGCCACCTGTCGCAGAACTCCTGAACCTGGAATCCAACCCGAACGGGCCATGTCGTTTCTGAGCGGCGGCGGCGGCGGCCTCGAGTCGGAGCTGCGTTGCTGCGTGTGTCTCCACGTGTTCACGGAGCCAGTCACCTTGCCATGCGGGCACACCTTCTGCCTGGACTGCGTGGAGGGCTGTTGGGCAGCCACCATCACCCCCTCCTCCTCCTCCTTGCCGGGCGGCACTCCGCGACTCGGCCGCTGGCTGCGGCACGCCGGACGCGGCGCGCACATGTCGTGCCCGCAGTGCCGGGCCGAGTTCCCCGTGAAGCCCCCGCTGCGTAAAAACGTGCTCGTGTCGCGCCTCGTGGAGCACCTGGAGGCGGCTCCGTACCAGAAGATCGGGCAGTGCGACACGTGGCCCGGCGGCACCACGGAGGACGCGACGGCGACGGGAGGTCGCGGCGCCGGAGGCGGCGGAGGTGGCGGCGGTGGCCCCAGGCGATGCTCCCTGCACGGGAAGAAGCTGCGTCTCTTCTGCAGAGACGACCGCGCCTGCGTGTGCACGGCGTGCGCCATCGTGGGCGCGCACTCGAGGCATCACGTCACGGACGTGCGCCAGGAGTTCGCTCACCTCGTCGTACGTGATGATGATGGGCATGGTGATGGGCATTCGTTTTTGTGTTGTTATTCAAGAGACCAGAATACAAAGTAGATTCTGAACAGGGGGGGGGGGGGGGGGGAGGGCAGCAAACACTCTGTAACAAATCCGGAGCGATACACACTCAAGATTAGGGACCGACTGGGAGCGCAGTACAGTGTATGTGAAGGGCATTCATTTCATTGGGCGGTCGTTCATCCGCTGTGTTTCTCACCACTTGTTGTGGTACAAGCAAGGCAGGTAAACGCTCTCACGGTCTCATGAAACTCGGGGGGGGGGGCGCTCTCAAATGATATTTACGGGTGCATGAAATGCCGGCTGCTATTCAGGTTCTAGTAAACATTCGAGGCTAATTAACGTAAGCCAATGAATCTCTCTCATCTAATCTGCCTATCTCTTCTGTCATCTCACTGGCATCTTGCAGATTGAAAGGGCCCCTTCCCCAATTAGTTTTTTTCTCATATACAGAGCCCTCAATGAGCACAGGATGCGTGGTTACCTGGGCAGTGGGCGGGGCTACCTGGGCAGTGGGCGGGGCTAGCTGGGCAGTGGGCGGGGCTAGTTGGGCGGTGGGCGGGGCTAGCTGGGCAGTGGGCGGGGCTACCTGGGCAGTGGGCGGGGCTAGCTGGGCAGTGGGCGGGGCTAGTTGGGCGGTGGGCGGGGCTAGCTGGGCAGTGGGCGGGGCTAGCTGGGCAGTGGGCGGGGCTAGCTAGGCAGTGGGTGTGGCTACCTGGGCAGTGGGCGGGGCTAACTGGGCGGTGGGCGGGGCTAGCTAGGCAGTGGGTGTGGCTACCTGGGCAGTGGGTGTGGCTACCTGGGCAGTGGGTGTGGCTACCTAGGCAGTGGGTGTGGCTACCTGGGCAGTGGGCGGGGCTACCAGATTAGTAGGCGGGGCCATGAGCAGTTGGCAGCGTGGTCGGGCGTTGGGATCCGCTCGCCGAAAACGCGAACATAATTTATCATTCATTTATCATTCATTGAATGATAAATTATGTTAACGCCGAAGGAAGCCAATGAGCGTCAAGGGGCGACCTAATATGGGTGCTTTTTGATCCACAAATGATGTGACGGGAATCACTTCACCGTTAAAAATGTTTTATTCAAAATGTCACCGCTTGGCCCATGCTCGAACACTTCTCGTCAAAAAATTGGTCGATTCCCGTTCCAGAATTGCTCATATGGATACAGCCACGCCCAATTACTCCATACATGGGCCTAAAGCATGAACATCATTTATCATTAATTCTGTCGAGGATTCATCTGATCCTGCTGCAGCGCGCGGTGCTAGTGGGTGAATGGGCGTGACCATGTAAAAGTAGGCGGTGGCGACAGACGGGCAGGGGCTGCCACCTTCACCATGTGACCCTCACCAATCATAAACGCACATGACCCTCACCGCTCATCCGTTCATAGTTTACACAATGTTACGTATTTCTTTTGTTTACCGTGTGTCTCCACCGACTGATGTACAAAAGGATTTCTACAAAGAGAAGTTGAAGAGGCTGAGAGCGAGACGCGGAGAGACAGAGGACGCGATCCGGCGCACCCGGGAGCTCTTCACCGTGGTGGAGGTAAGAGCGTGCGTGTGGGACGAGAGGAGCGGTGGCGCCGTGGTTAGCGCACCACACTGCCAATCCGGCGAGTGCTGCGTCAATGAGTGCCTGGTGCTGCGTCAGCGAGTGTCTGGTGCCCGTGTGTGAGCATCGGCACTGGGGGAGACAAAGGCGATCGGGAGGGGGTGTGCATCTGCACGTGTCACACACAAACCAACAACGTAGATAGGTTCAAAGAAAATAACCAAAAAACTACGACGTTTCGATATGAATTCCTGCAGTCACGAAAGCTTTAAGTCAAGATACAAACCAGCAAATCATCAAACCGTGCACGCGAATTTCAATCTCATCCCATCCATTGGATCTGCGGCGTTTCTCTTTTTCCTTTCATGAGGTTGACTTTTCTCAACTTTAATCATTAACTGGTTCTCACCCTCGTGCGGGCTCGGCTGACATTAGAAAGCGAACTTGACATTTTGTTTGTGTGACACAAGGCCAACATTAACGCAGTTCGTCTCACTGTTGGCTTCACGTGCATTTATCGCTTCAAACATGTTTCAAGCCGTGACATTTGGCCCCGCACCCACATAGAACAAACAATGCCCTTTCCTGTAAAACTGTTAAACGGTTTCGGGAAGACGCATCATCATCCAGCATCCCATTAACATACCACCCTCGCCCCGTCCATGTAAGTAAGCACTTGCATAATGTTCAGAAGAGTTCGTCGATTGGCAGGTCGCCTGTGGAGGGGTAAAGTGTGGAGGAGTAGGCCAAAGCACCCTGTCAAAGGGGCTCCCTAGAGCTCTCTCGTGGCGAGACCGACAGTGGCGTGAATGAGTGAGGAACGAGGTGCATTTTGACATCGTGTGGCCGTAACGAGGGATGGCGACTGCATCGGGGAGCCTTCCTCCAGCAGTGGATACATCATAGCGGATAATGATGATGCGCCCATGTACCTGCGTGTAGGTAAAATTTCGCGCGCGTGTCTGTAGGTCGCGCGCGTGTGTAGATGAGTACCTGGTGCGGTGTGCGGTAAACATCGTCACTCGTGAGACAAATGCGACCGGGCGTGGCGCTGGCCCAACCACCGCTTCACGCACCGTGCCGGCCTTCTTCGGTGCACCGCCGGCCCCAACAGTCTGTTCAAGGTTACGCAGGCGGTGGCGGGCGGTGGCGGGAGGACCACACCTTTGCCTCTGTTCGCGTGTGCAGCAGGCGAGCGGTGCCCTGCAGGCGGGCTGCCGGAGGGCCTTCTCGCGCATGAGGCGTCTCCTGGCGGCGGACGAGGCTGCGGCTCTGCGCTTCTTCCGCGGCGAGGAGAAGCGCGCGCTGGGCGGGGTGCGCCGAGCCGAGTGGCGCCTCCGGGCGCAGGCGGACGCCCTGGACAAGGCCCAGCTGGAGGTGTCCAGGCTGCTCCAAATCGCCGACCCCTTTGAATTTGTGCAGGCGCGTGGCAGAGATCGGAGAACTATTTTTGTTACTTTACTAGCTAAGGTCCGCTGAGCTATGGCGCTCTCATCCAGAAGTGCCCTGGCCACAAATGATAGATCTACGAAGTGGCCTATCGTGTGGAAACTTATAGCAGCCAGATGCTTTGAACGCACGTTGATTCTAAATGTGGAGGGAAAAACCGGAGGACACGTAAGAATAATCCACGTGACCATGGGAAGAACATACAAATTCCAAATTTACAGCAGGTGTCCGGGTCGGGATCAAACCGACGACCTCCTGCATACCAGGTGAGGTAGTTAACATCTCGCCACTGTGGCGCCCTGATCTGACCACCACCGTTCCTCACACAAAAATACAACAAATATAAAGACCCCCCGTATAGGCTTAACCAACTGTTGGGCGCAAGTGCCGTTATATTGAACTCCTATTAAGGGCGACGACAGCACACGAGAAGGTGAGTGACCGACGCCACACCCGCTGTGCCTTTGTCTCCCAAATGATGATGTTCACCTAATGAACCAGGTGCTCATCTAAGGTTGAGTCGTCCCAGGAGAGGCCCATAACAGCTTCAAATATTGCCACCGTTATTGGTCGTGAGTAGGAATCGAACGCGGGGTCTCGCTAGGTTCGTAGCGCAGTGCGCTAACCACTGGGCCACCGCTCCCCACGCCATCCACACACCCTCGACCCTGCCACCGGTCCAAATGAGACGATGCTAATCTCTTGATTTCTCTCCTCGTCAAGCAAAATAAACCTGAAACTCGAGGCTTGAACTCGACCCACGATACCATCTCAGGACTTTCTACAATGACACTCGTGGATATTTTCAGTCACGTTTTATATTATTTTGCGTCAAACCAGTACACGTGTCTTAGAGAGAGGAGAACCTTGCCTCTAATACATCTCGCAGTTCACCAGCATTGATTCAAGCAAGGCTGCCTCTGCTGTTGAAACTGGTCCAAGTTCGCTTGTACGGTACTCAATCAATGCTGTTGAAATGATTAATTCTCAGAGGGTTGCGTGATCGATAAGTTGCATAACGAATAGTTGTGTCGTACGTGACACGACAGATCTATACGAACTGTTTGCTTTAACGTGCCGATTAATTACGCAGGAGGTGCCGCAGAGGGCTTGAAGTGGTAACAACTTTAGGTTGATATCGATGACATGAAGACAGCCCTCCGTGCTGTCGACTCATCTGCCCCAGTTCCAGTCCCGGCTCGAGCCCTGCCCCTCTGCCGAGGGCCGACTGCTTCTCGATAAAATAAATCCACCCAATGTCGCCGCACGACGTCTTGAGAAGCGGTCTCGTTTCGCCGATATATAATTCCGCATTTTATTGCATAAATAAAATAACTTTATTAGTTTTGCCCGTAACCTTTTGCCCGTTTTTCTTTTTGTTTTATCCACGCAGGTTCACAGCTGCAGCGTAGAAAGGTACGCGTGTGTGTGTGTGGAAAAGTACGCGTGTGTGTGTGTAGAAAGGTAGGCGTGTGTGTGTGTAGAAAGGTACGTGTGTGTGTGTGTGTAGAAAGGTAGGCGTGTGTGTGTGTAGAAAGGTACGCGCGCGTGTGTGTAGAAAGGTACGCGCGTGTGTGTGTGTAGAAAGGTACGCGTGTGTGTGTGTAGAAAGGTACGTGTGTGTGTGTAGAAAGGTACGCGTGTGTATGTGTGTAGAAAGGTACGCGTGTGTGTGCTCTTGCATCACTCCCCCCACCAGCCCCCCCCCCCCTGCCCCCCCCTGTGGGTTCATCCGCCCTCTCTTCAAAGGATAATTGGAGGGGTTGCTGGGTGACTCAGGAGGCTAATTGCGGCCATCCAATCGTCACCCTCCCCCACAGCTCTTACCCGATCCCTTTCCTGGCGAAACTAATCTGGATATTACACTTAGAAGTTGCTAGAAACTGAAGCAATGCGTAAGCATAATGCCTCACAACAACGCGTATTGATGGGCTTGCATACGATGTCGCTTATTGCAACAAACAGGGCGCCCATTGTTTAGATCGAGTGCTCTTGCCAATAACGTCTGGCAAGCCAGCTGCATTTGTCTAACAAGTCTGATTCTGCTGATGAGACCCAGAAGGTCGAAACCGGTCCAGAGTTTGCGTGCTTAAATGCTGCTGGGTAATAGTGATCCGGAAAGCCGATAGCCGATGGACTTGACGTGGTGATTCTAGATTTGAAGTTGTCGTGACTGCAAGGATCCATACTCTTTGGTTCTTTCGGTAAAGTCACGTAGGTGAAAAAATAAAATAAAAATAAAATAAAAATAATTTATTTTAATAAAATAAAAATAGTTTATTTTTATTTTTTATTTTATTTTATTTTTTCACCTACGTGCCTTTACCGAAAAACCAAAGAGTATGACATGGTGACGCTACACGGAGGTCTGGGTATATGCACTTGACGCGTGATCAACACAAAATAACCCTCAGCGTCGTGGAGAATATAAAAAACAAGATGAGTAGACAATTTGTCTCCATATATCGGCCTCTCCAAATGAATAGATACAAATACAACACAACCCATCGGCCCCACAGCCTTCTGGTTTGCACACAACCTCAACAGCATCGATTCAGTACGAGCAAAGTCTGAACTGGTTTCTACACACAGCATCTCATGAGGCTTGCCGCAGTGTAATTGGTTTAATGGTGCCATGGTGGAGAGATGTTAACTACCTCGCCTGGTATACAGGAGATCGTGGGGTAGATCCCGACCCTGACGCCTGCAGTATATTTGGAGTTTTCATCTTCTCCCCGTGGTGGCGTGGATTTTTCTCCGGGTCCTCCGGTTTTTCCCTCCACATTTAGAATCAACATGCGTTTAGAGCATTTGGCTGCTATACATTTCCACGTGGTAAGCCACTTCGTTGAGCTATCATTTGCAGCCAAGTCGCTACTGAAAAAAGAGCTATGTAGCTTAGTGGGCCTTACCTGGCAAAATAGAAATAGTTAATCGTTTAGTTTATTTGCGAAACGTATTCATGATGAGCCCTCTCCTTTGCTCCCCGCTGCAGGGTGGACGCGGCGCTGGGAGCTCCGCTGGAAGTGGACGCTGGGGAGGCGCGCTTCAACAAGGTCAAGGTGCGCATCGTGGCCGAGAGGATCAGCACCTTCACGCGCCGGATGGACGAGTGGCACGGCCTGCGGCCCGTCTTCATGTGTGAGTCGCCACGTTCCTCAACGCTCCCTCCGTTGCCTCGTGTCCGCTGCGTCCGACCGGCCCGGCGTTGCTCAGGAGGTTGTTTTTTTTACCCACTGCAAAGCCCGAGCCGTGCCCCCGACATCGCCTGCGACGGACGAGCCGAGAGGGCGCGGTGACGCCGCGATCAAAGTTGCGCTCTCGCCGATGTCGCGTGCGGCGGCAGCGTCGTCCCGTGCGCCAATCGCGCCGCATCGCCGTCCCCTGCGTCGACGCTCGCCTCGGCAGCGCGAGTCTATACGGGGGAACCTCGGTCTGTGCCCGCGTGCGTGCAGATGACAAAGACACGGAGCCGGAACCGGACTCGGCTTTCCGCGAGCCGTCCTCGCCGCCCGCCTTCCCTTCCTCGCCGGGGCCCCCGAAAGATCTCGCCGTGCAACGGCACGACTCCGACCCCGACCCCGACCTGGAGGCGGACTTCGCGGGGCCGTCCCGGAGCGCCTCCCCGCGCCGGGTCCTCGCCGCGGCGCCGCCGTCGCCGTTCCACGGCGGCCGCGTGGCGAGCGCCCTGCGCGGGGTCCGCTCTGGGCGCCACTACGTGGAGGTGGAGGCGTGCGTGCGCTCGTCTTGCCGCGTGTGCGTGCACACGGGCGAGGGCCCCGCGGAGCGACGGGAGGGGGCTCCGCAGAGTCCACTCGGCCCGGCGGAGCCCCTTGCCGGGGCGGGGGTCTGCTGCCTCTTGCTGTGGGACGAGACGCAGTTCCTCACGGGCGATCAGCGGCGCCGGCGGCAGCAGCAGCAGCAGCCGCAGCCACCCCAGCAGAATCAGCAACAGCAGCAACAGCAGCAGAATCAGCAGCAACAGCAGCAGCAGTTGGTAGAGGCTGAACCACTGGGACCTTCGGGCCTTCTCACCATCGGGGTGTATTTGGACTACGAGGGCGGCACCGTGGCCTTCTACAACGGGTACACGATGGCGAGCCTCTACACGCACCACGCTGTCTTCACGCAGCCTGTCAACATCACATTCTCCGCCGGCGAAGATGCGTCTTTTGCCATCGTCTAGCGTAGGTGAGAGGTGAGAGGTCTCGGGCTCAGGGTTCCAGTGCTTCCTGGTCCATCTTTCCTAGATTTGAAACACAGCGATGGATGGGCTGGGTGGGAGAAAATGGAAAGGTCGTGGGAGAAACGGGAGGATGGACAAAGATGGATTGGAATATTTGAATGAAGCGTACAGTTGCTAAATCGAGCTACATGCAGTCGATATCAAGCGGCGATGATGAAGTTCAAGTGAGTGAAGTTGCAAAGGGAAGAAGCTGAAGACGGAATTAGGTCCCCTAAAATGGGCAAATGAGCAGGAATTGACGTTCCATGATAATTATTTCAACAGGGAGGAGAATGTAGCAGTGATCTATTCACAAACATGGCTAAAACAATTGATGCAATCAACAATAATACTACGAAAAACGAACACTTAAAGACGGCGGCATAATTATGAGGAAAACGAGCCTCGTCAGCCACCCTCAGTCAAGCATTATTCCAAAGAACATTGAACTAAAACCAACAGGGGAAGCTCTAAATCAAGAAATATGAAGCAGGTTTGTGGAGAAGGGCAGAGCTCCGCAGAGCAGATGTTTAATCTCTGCACCGCGTGTGGAAAGATCGCGCGGAGCCAGACACCGTGATTCGATCGCTTCGGATCCTTTTGACAGAGTCTGCCAGATAGCGCTGCGGAATCAACACGGGGCAGCAATAGCTCTTCTGAAAACATCACCAGCACGGCAGAAGCCTCCTACTTGAATGTTGTTTGTTGTTGTAACTCGCTAACCTCGTGTCCCTGCTGAGCATCTGTGAAAAAGGAGGTTTCATAGCTCATCGGATTCCTTCTCCTCCAGTCGAAATCAAGATTCTGAATGTGAGGAGCGTGGCTGCTGGCCACGTGGTGTGCAGCGGCTCTTGGCATGAGATAGCGACGCCCACTGCCTCTCGCCGGATCTTACTCGACCCCTATCGAGCGCCCATCGCGGCGAGGTACCGCGTGGCGATCGGGGTACCGCAGCGGGGGCGACCTACGAAAGATCCGGAGGAGCCGAAATCAACGACTTGCGCCGCAACCCCTCGTCCGAGCACGAGACGGAGACCGGCGCAGTGTCGAGAGACGGCGGCGTGCATGCGCCCGTGCGATCGAGGTGCACGTGACACCATGACACGAGCGGACCCCGACTCGGGACATAAACGACATCGTTGAAATACCTCGCATCAAAGGATACGGCCGGTGGGAAGATCTACTGGTTTTAGTTAACATCGTGAGCCTGGAGAGATGCAAACACCTCCATCGTCACCGAAATACATCGTTCCGAGGGGGCCTCCTTCGTTATCTCTTTCATGCGTGGATGTGAATGGTGGTCATCAACATCAGACACGCAAATTGATAGAGGCGATGGAAAGTCTTTTCTGTGCGGCCGCATGTCCCCATACAGGGAACTATGAAAACAAAGAGGTACGAGTAAGGGAAAGCGAAGAGGTTGGCGAGCGTGAACGCCTGTTGTCTGTCATTTAAAAAGTGAGAAATCTGAATTGGTGTGGGCTTACCACGACATTTGTCAGATCCCGACCAAGACCATCGGATAGGGGACGGCCGATGGCAAAAGACAGCGAGACACGCCGGGTAAGAACTGGCTCGATAACATCGCGGCATGGGGCGGCCGGCCTAACCCGCGAACATCGATTAATCACTGCCAAGGACAGCACAGGATGGGTGGAGAGATAACGTCCGATTAGCACGGTTGACTACGCACGGTGCGACGGAAGTTCAATGCACGTACGCACAACAAAGTGAAAACGCCGCCATCGCTCGGGTGACGGGATAAGGAGAGAAGAGAACGCTGATCGGACGCGGGCGATGCTGCTCGTTTGGCCAGAGTGAATGGAGGATGCCAGATTACAGTCATGCAGTGATGGCACAAGAACCACGTGGGTTAAGACTCTTAAGAAGAAGCTGCTATTGTGTGCAATGTCCATAATCTTCCATCATTAAGGCCGCAATCACGACAACATTTTGATTGTGGTAATTAGCGTCTTCATTACGGTCCCGGCCTTCGTGAGCATGATCGCCATCGTGTTCATGTTGGTTGTCATCGTTATCACGGACATCATCGTCATCATCGTTATCGTCAACATACTTGCAACCAGGATTACCATCATGCTTATCGTCAAAGCGGTAATAGTTATAATACTCATCATTCACTGTCATCTCAATCACTGTCAGCATGAACATCATGGTCATGATCAGCGGAATAAAATCACCGCTGCAGAGGAGGCGTGGAAACGTCATCGCCCGCCACCGTTTTGGCGCCCCCCCCCTCGACGTAGCGGATCGAGGCCTCAATTCGTAACCTTTGCTATCCCAGAGGGCACTTTAACGCCCCTAATATGCGGGCTACAGCAATGTCTGACGCGTGTGACAGGATAATTCGGGGTGAGATGCGTGATGCGTCAAAACAATGGTGCTGCTTAATCCCGCTGCTGACTTTGAGAAGCTCCAAACGTAACCTTCGCCGAAGGCTCGCCGTGACTTTATCAACATAACGGTGACCTCCCCCCCCCCCCCCCCCCTGGCTCAAGCCATTCATTCACCCGGGCCATTTTCATCGAGTCAAGATTTTAAAGATATTTTTTTAAAATGCACTTAAGGGATGAAGAAACTTGGACTCCCCATAGAAAAGCCATAAGAGGGGGGGCAACACACTGAATGTTCCACACAGATGGATTCAATAATCCACTAGACCTACTGCCGTATTTGTGCCCATCTCGCAGCCCAGTGACTTTTTGGTAACGAAAAAAGAAAATCTTTTTGTTTAGACGGTGTGGCCACATCAGGTTGTTGGGGAACTTTTTAGTGACGGTATTTTATTTTGTTTACACGAGAGGGTCATTTAACATTGCGGGCTCAATGCCCTCTCCCCGTGCGTTCCTTCAAAGTGACGCAGAAGTGTTCATTTGGCTTTTCCCAGGACGATTTCTGACGATTGATGATTTTTGTTATTTTTTCCATCTACGTGGCTTTATCGAAAGACCCAAAGAATATGTTTCCCCAAGACGTCCCTCTGCCGACTTTTAGTGGCCACGGCCATTGCGAGACTCGCGGTTATCCCACGACTCTCACGGTTATCCCACGACTCTCACTGTTATCCCGTTAAACCCGCTCGGCTCGCAGTCCGCGTGACAAAGTAAACCGTAGCGTTGACGCGAAGTAATTCATTTTTTTTCTTTTTTACAACACGATAGGAGACGATCGTTTTTCACGACATGACGATTATCGCGATATTACTTTCGCGTAGCTTTATAAAATTGTATTTCACGTGTTTTAATAGTGTTGTTTCTGTACTCTGCCATCCTTACAGGAATCCAAAAAATATTACTATATATATGTTCTGCATTTCTCTCGACACGAGCCTGCAATATATCTTGCAATTATTGCAATTTTACAATCCGTAGCGCTTATAAATGGACAATGCTGCTACTGTTCACATTTGGAATAATTAACTAAGTAACTATGAAACTGAACAAGTGAAATTCGCAACATGCTATCGACAACTCCATGAACTTATGCAAAACACTCATATCATGGGCAAAAGCTCATCATTTGAAACTTCAATTATCGTGCTAATTGGTTTGATCATAAAGGAGTATAAAACGTCAATTAAAAATGTAAACAAGCGATAAGAAATTTTCCGCACCTCCGATTAGCAAGGTTGGTTATGTGCCGTGCGAAAGAAATTTAAAGCACAGCAACAATAATAATCGGCCCGTAACATCATTTTGCTAAGTGAACGTACGATTGCTGGTGACCGATTTATCAATTGGGATTACGGAGCGATCACTGTGCCCCTACTTTGGGCTAGAAAGTAGTCGTGAGACTAAGTCGAGGCTTTTCCTGGGTGAGCACGCGTGACGCTGGACATCTGTGAGAAAGAGCTTTGTAGCTCATCGTATTCCTCCAATATAAATATTGTGATTCTGGGAACATTATTGTCGTATCCCGGGCAACGCAAGTCAAATATACACTCAAGGCACTGTACCTATAACACAAAACGTGAGTTTACCAACACAATTCATATTATTGGTTCTTTCGGTAAAGTCACGTAGAAGGGAAATAATAAAATAATAAAAATAAAACAATTAAATTCTCACGACGTTTTATTTTTTATTACTTTATTATTTCCCTTCTACGTGACTTTACCGAAAGAACCAAAAATATGACTCCCTGCAGTCACGAAAGCTTTACATCGAAAATTAAACACAATTGTTTTTGTTCATCAATGTTGGCGAGTTTACATTATCTGGTTTTTCGCGCGGAAGTAAATTGAAGGGATTTAAGCGAGCGTCAACGTAACATTGCATTTGATCGAACGATCATAATAGTTGTTTGGGGGTTTGATCACGTAAATATGTGTCGCTAAACCCGCCACCACCCGACACAGCCAACTAGTAAGGTTTGTCACGTAAACAGAACGTGCCAATTCGTTACTAGTACAGCACACCGGTGTGTTTAAGAGCAAATCCACAACATTAACAATCTGAGTACGACGTTTCGCCAATAATTACAACTAGCTTCATCAGACGACAGCCTGAATCATGGTGGCGGGTTTAGCGACACATTTATGCAATCTAACCAAAAAACACCTGGATTTTGAATATTGGTCAAGAAAACCTATGTGTTAAAACGTAGTTATGTCTGTTCTTTTAAAAATCGTACTTTGAGTTTCCCCATCTCACATGGAGGGCAATCGGTTAACTTCTTAAAATAGTGCAACAAAAAATGATAGTTCACATTCATTGCAGCAAAAATACATGTATTATAATAGATTAATATGAGAGTCTTTCCTTAACAACCCTTTGCAAATTCACTGCGAGATGAAGGCCTTTAGAACTGCTTTTTGTGTGGTTAGTTTGTTGTCCTTTCCCCCGCACCTCCGATTAGCACGGTTGGCTACGTACGGCGCGAAAGAAGTTCAGCATACAATGTGTGCCGTGGGGGTTGTTTGACCATACTTCTTGCTACTTAGTGTGGGTTGATGAGCGGGCGTTGGGGGGGGGGGGCAGCGCTCTGGTTCGGATCTCACTCGCGACCGATGATAGCTGTGGTCAGGAATCAATCTCGGCTGTTGGGGTTTTTAGGATGCACAACGCGCTGCACCACGACCGCACACACAAAATAAACAAGACGCGGTTTTTTTTTGCTCTTCCTTTTTGCACCTGGTGGGTTCAATTAAGATGTATCTGTTCTAAGCTCGAAACATTTCTTTTTCAGACATTGAAAGGCAACGTCTAATTTAGCTCTTGTTTGAGCAAAGCAAAGCGAGGCTTAACTTTTTCATGGAATACTTTTGCGAGGTTACAAACCACCCACCTACCTATATCAGGAGGTGATGCGACGGGGGAAACATGAATATGACGGAGGTTCGTGCACTCATTGGTGACCAGTCAAAGCCACGTTTGAGAAGCCGGTTTAATCACGGGCGGATGAAATACGGATTTCAAATCCAGCCTCTCTGCGTTGCCGGCTCAATGCTACTAACACAGTATTTTAGTGCCGATTCACCCAAGCGTCCAGTGCCTTGTGTTTCTTTACGGTACTGCCTTCCATTGTGCTGTTCCACGTCAGAAACAAAACGGCCTGAAAGGTTAAAAGCAACACTGACCCATGGAGAGGGTTACTATACACTGTTTGGGAAGTGCAGCATTCTAGCCAAGCGAATCTTAGCCATCCCAAACTAGTCACCCCGTGCAAGCCCTCCCGCTGAACCAACCAACTCGCCACGAGGACTATGCTGATGCAATTGACCTTCACGCTGACTAGCTAGCCACCAGTACTAGCCACTAGTACTCGCCCTTTCACTCACCCTAACCAACTAGCCACCAGTACTAGCCACTAGTACTCGCCCTTTCACTCACCCTAACCAACTAGCCACCAGTACTAGCCACTAGTACTCGCCCTTTCACTCACCCTAACCAACTAGCCACCAGTACTAGCTATTAGTACTAGCCATTTCACTCACCCTAACCAACTAGCCACCAGTACTAGCCACTAGTACTCGCCCTTTCACTCACCCAAACCAACTAGCCACCAGTACTAGCCACTAGTACTCGCCCTTTCACTCACCCTAACCAACTAGCCACCAGTACTAGCCACTAGTACTCGCCCTTTCACTCACCCTAACCAACTAGCCACCAGTACTAGCCACTAGTACTCGCCCTTTCACTCACCCTAACCAACTAGCCACCAGTACTAGCCACTAGTACTCGCCCTTTCACTCACCCTAACCAACTAGCCACCAGTACTAGCTATTAGTACTAGCCATTTCACTCACCCTAACCAGCTAACCACCAGTACTAGCCACTAGTACTCGCCCTTTCACTCACCCTAACCAACTAGCCACCAGTACTAGCCACTAGTACTCGCCCTTTCACTCACCCTAACCAACTAGCCACCGGTACTAGCCACTAGTACTCGCCCTTTCACTCACCCTAACCAACTAGCCACCAGTACTAGCCACTAGTACTCGCCCTTTCACTCACCCTAACCAACTAGCCACCAGTACTAGCTATTAGTACTAGCCATTTCACTCACCCTAACCAGCTAACCACCAGTACTAGCCACTAGTACTCGCCCTTTCACTCACCCTAACCAACTAGCCACCAGTACTAGCCATTAGTACTCGCCCTTTCACTCACCCTAACCAACTAGCCACCGGTACTAGCGACTAGTACTCGCCCTTTCACTCACCCTAACCAACTAGCCACCAGTACTAGCCACTAGTACTCGCCCTTTCACTCACCCTAACCAACTAGCCACCAGTACTAGCCACTAGTACTCGCCCTTTCACTCACCCTAACCAACTAGCCACCAGTACTAGCCACTAGTACTCGACCTTTCACTCACCCTAACCAACTAGCCACCGGTACTAGCTATTAGTACTCGCCCTTTCACTCACCCTAACCAACTAGCCACCGGTACTAGCTATTAGTACTCGCCCTTTCACTCACCCTAACCAACTAGCCACCGGTACTAGCTATTAGTACTAGCCATTTCACTAACCATAACCAACTAAGCCACCTGTACTCGCTCTTTCACTGACCATAACCAACTAGCCACTAGCCATTTCACTGACCCTAACCAACTAGACATTAGTACTAGCTCTTCCACCGACCCAAACTCGAGCCAACTAGCCACTAGTTCTATCCCTCTCACCGACCCCAGCACTATGCAACTCACCACGAGTACTGTAATAACCATGACCCTTACCCCCCCCCTCCCCTAATCTTATCTCTGGCACTTTGTCAAGATCCCTTTCACAGTTTCTGTTCTCTTTTCAGTCTTGGCTCGATGGGCCTTACCCCGAATAAACTGACCAACTGAGGTGGACTTATCTTCTTGCTTCTTGAGGTGGACTTGCCGGCGTGTAAACATCACCATTGGGGAGACAAAGGTGGTCGGGCATTGGTTCCGGCCACACCGCCCTCTCATTCACCATTTCCGACCTTAGTATGTGCAGTGGTGGCAGACAGCAACTTAACTTAACCCAACAGCCTATACAGCAGGCTCGATGCGGGTGATAAGGATGTGTGATCGATACGTGTGAACGGTACGTGTGTGAGCAATATGTGTGTGATCAGGATGTGTGTGAATGGTACTGTGTGATCGGTACGTGTGTGATCAGGATGTGTTATCGATACGTGTATGATCAGGATGTGTGATCGGGATGTGTGATCGATACGTGTGTGATCAGGATGTGTGATCAGGGTGTGTGATCGATACGTGTGTGATCAGGATGTGTGATCAGGGTGTGTGATCGATACGTGTATGATCAGGATGTGTGATCAGGATGTGTGATCGATATGTGTGTGATCAGGATGTGTGATCAGTACGTGTGCGACTGTTGGGCAAAGTGCTGTTAGCGAGCACCTCTGAAGGCCGCCACGGTTTGTCCAGAGAGGCGGGGATGGTTCGTGTGTTTGCGTGGCTTTTGCTTGGCCTCGGTGTTTGGGAGTGGTTGTGATTTACCGAGCGGCTTTCTGAGAAACTGCGCGCGTATTAATGTGGTTGACGCAAAGCTGTGAGTGGCTCATCTGTCGCGATTCTCCAGTAACACGGTGTCTTCTGCAGGGATGCCCTGGGGGTGCAGGGGGCGGGTTGACCTCCCCCCACGAAACAACAACAACAAAAGCAGAAAATGCCCCCCCTCCCCCGCATCGAATGAATTCAACCGGTTACATGTTGTACTGAAATATAAATAAAACATTTACATGCGTCGACTGGTTTGTAAAAATTGTATTTTTTTCTTAATCGTACATTTCTATCCACGCCTCAGCAACCACAGCACGTGAAGACAGTAAGAGTCGAGCGCGTGACGAAAGGTTCGACAAATCTAAGGCAATCGTGACGTGAAAATGAAGTCGATTTGTTATTTTTTTCTGCACAATTCAAATAAGAAAACACTCCTAAACACACGTGACAGCAGCGGCTAACTGGCGAATCGTTCCCGGTGGTGACTTGGTCACTGCCAGACAGACAGGGTCTGGTGAAGCCCTCCCTATGGAGAAAGCAACCCAAATGTGAATGCGCGTCAAAGCACCGGCCAGGCTCGACTCCGCTTAGCTTCTGAGAAGTGCACTCTGGGGCTGGGTGTGAGTGATTTGATGGTATGCGCGGGAACGCAATCTGCATTTTGGTCTTCGGCTTGCCACTTTGCATGTTGTCGACTTCTGGCTCTGCACGTGGACTCGGGGACATCGTAATCTCCCACTTCTCGAGGCAAGAGGCACAGTCTCTGCACTGCACATCGCACACGTGCACTACCACGTGGTCACCGTGAGACACACAGGTTAAAAGAAATAAGTTTACAAAAATACAATTCGCGTTAACCAAATTTCGATTCCAATTGCGCCCTTGGAGTCAACGTCAGCAAAACGTCCATTCGGAACCCTTGCAGAGTAGGGCACCATACCAAAAAACAAAAACGGGTCATCCCCACGTGCTTGAGAATGATCCCGCAGAAGGTGCTGTCACAGAACCGCTTCTGATATGCCTGCACGTGACCTCTTATCCACACTGGAGGTACGCTCCACTTACCCACGTGTCCTGCTGTAGAGATATTTATTGTACGGTTGTCGGAACAAAGAAAGTAAAAAAATCACAAAGTTTAAAATGTTTCCCGAAATTATTGAAAGAGAAAAAAACACACCCCCAACCAAATGTGTGCAGTCATTGGTGACTCGGCTGAGATAATTCGCTTAGCTAGATTTTCGAACTCGGTTTAATCACTGGCAGCTAAAAACCTGAACTGTAACCCAGGATATGTCGAGGGTACCAACTCGGCACTCTCATCCCTGAGCCACCCATGCAATGGTACAGGAACGAAACTAATGATGATTGGAAACCCGACGGAAAGAGCAACGTTTCTGGCACTTAACCCCTACCCATAAAATTATCCTGAGGCTGTACAAGTACAAACATATCATTAGGTAAGTTGTACATTCATTTGAATGAGATTCAGAGTCTATTACAGGGGTGGCCAAACTTGCTGCCACAATCTCCGTACGGCCTAAGAGCCACAAAGACTCTGAGCGGGATCACAATGCGGTGGTTACGGTTTGATCGGACCGGGTTTTAGGGGTGCCACTGTGGCGAGATGCCAACTGCCTCGCCTGGTATGCAGGAGGTTGTGGGTTCGATCCTGACCCTAACGCCTGCTGTATATTTGGAGTTTGCGTGCCTCTCTCCCCGTGGTGGTGTGGATTTTTCTCCTGGTCCTTCGTTTTTTCCCTCCACATTTAGAATCAACGTCGCCATGCATTTAGAGTATTTGGCTACTATACAATTCTACGCGATAAGCCACTTCGTTGAGCTATAATTTGCGATAGCCAGATCGCTTCTGAAAAAGAGCTACATAGCTCAGTGGGCCTTACCTGGTAAAAAAAAAAGTGTTTAGTTTAAAACAGTTTAGTTTTTTAATTGAGAAATCTGCGGGAGCGCCCCAGGAGTACTCATCGCCTGGCTCTGCTGCCAAATGTCAGTGTCCCAGGGCCCCTCCGGATTCCGCAGAATTCCTGTTTCAAACACCACCGAAGAAAGCCCTTGAGGGCCGCACGCTGCTCACGAGCAGCGGTTCGACCACCCCTGGTCTACTCGTTGTCAGCTTCCTTGGGCCACAGCTCCAACACAAATTATGAAACGCATTCCAAAACATTATATATTTATATACCCCACACCTCTTAAGTAACTAATATTACCTTATGATTGTCACATTGAACATTTCACATCCGACGATCATTTACGATCGACATAGGCCTCGGCAAGGTAAGGTAAAAGGTAAAAACAGCGAGCCTACCTTTATCCTACTTTTTACCCTTACCCGATTACAGGGTAATTACTGGGGTACTACTACACATGTAAAAGGTTTGTAACAGGTCAATGCTAGGTAGAGCGCTTTATTCATATAGAATACTCTCGATGATTCCAATTTTAAATGGAGGCCACGGACTGCGCCACGGAGCTTTTAGCGAGCGGTATACAAGGTATTTACCGGATTATTCTTCCGCGCTACCTTTACCCGACCCTTTACCTTACCCCTTGGGCATGTCGACACCTTTACCCTTTTGCCCGGTAAAAAGGGTAAATTGCCTTACCTTGCCGAGGCCTAGATCGACATAACAAAAACTCAACATGTCCGTCAGTAATACTGCCCGGAAGATGGAGGTACAGGCAAACCTCTTCCTTCGCAAATTTTTCTCTCCTGAAATTCGACTATTTGCAATGAAACATTTGTATACCAGGTCAACTTTCACATCCTTTTCCCTCAGATATTTGCAATTTGGCAACATCGCACTATAGGGGAGGGGTACTGTACTTGTGCACTGAACAGGGTGGTAGCCCAGATGTCTTGTGACCAAGCCAATTAATTGACCTCTAACATTTTTTCCCCTTTGCATAGTCATTCACGTTTCAAATAAGCCTTGCAAAAAATATTACGTTTTAGAGAATTAAATGGGGGTCACAAGACATCTGAACCACCCTTCGCGGTAAGCAGGTTGTAGCTCGTATGCCCGAGTCAGCACACCGATGCTTTAACACCTCTAATGCCATTGCATTTTAGTGCTATTCTTGCCTTATTTGTGTTGTTTTTTTTATTTAACTTACGGGGTCTAAGCGGAGGAATTGACATTTTCATTTGGTCCCGTATATTCAGTCAGACACAGTACAGTATCTACGTTTCGCAAGTTCCACTTTCGAGCAGAATTTCAAGAACCTAGCCCTCACCGTATATGCAACAGGTGACATTTTGAGCAAGGTCCTACTTCCAAGCAAAGACAAAAAAGGGCCATTCCCTGAAACATCGGCCACTCTCCTGTATATGTGTTATCCTCTTTAGGGCAATGTTATTGACGAACGTGTTGACATTTGGTTATTTGCGCACGATTGCGATTCGATAGCTCTCATATGCCCCAGCGTACACAGACACCACGATGCACACGCAAGCGCGCGCGCGTCACAACGTCAGCAGGAGCTCATCGTTATGGGATATATGTCAATTACGTCAGCCGATTTTTACAATTCTTTTTTACAAATGAGTGACGATAGTTCGTTGGGTGCATGTTCGCAGAGAAGTCGACAGCAATCGACGTCATCCACGGCTCCTGAAATGTACCGTACGCGCAGCGGCAGCGAGGGCCGGCCGAGGGAGATGCGCGCTCACCCCAAGCCAAGGTGCTCACTTCGCCTCGCCCAAGTCTGCCAAGGAACGAGCAAGGGAGAAAGGTCAACGTGCGTGCGTGGATCCCAGCGTCGCCTTCCAAAAGCGCGCCCGTCCCTCAGAGTTGATCAAATCGGCGGAATTTACGGCACCTTTGCGCGACGCACAACGAGACGCCGCCGCTCGTAATGACGTCACGGCGAGGCAGCGCGTATGGCCTGTGACGTCGCCAGCCTCGGCCTGAGATGCTCATCCATTTGACGTTGGGGTTTTTTTAATCGCCATATATTGGGCAACCCTTTTGAATCAATTTGGCCGGTTTTGGAGAGGCTAAGTGCCGAAGAACAACACAAATATGAACGACAATGTAAATTATGTTGAATGTTTTTACGAGAGTTGGCATTACCCCACGTTACAAACAGAGAGAGACGGGACAGAGAGATATTAGCGCTTTCAACAATAGCTGGAAAGCGTTAAAAACACACGGCATGTGGTCGTCCCCTCGACTACAGGCCACCTTCCACCGCAGCTCCACCCACATTAGGTCCTTGCGAAAAATAATATTCAGACTTTATCCACAATTCTATCCCAACCGTGCCATCAGCATCGTGTGATAGGATGAACAATTCAACCTCTCGCACAGAGCGGTTGCAACCCTGCGTTTTAGACAACGCCCCCATGGGGATCACTGAACTTCCAAGATTCCTTTAAGCGACTTCTGGGTGCGTGCATAGTTTGTTGTCTTTCCCCCGCACCTCCGATTAGCACGCTTGGCTACGTACGGTACGAAAGCAGTTCAACATGCATACACACAGGACCAGATTTGACGCGATGGGTTTTTTTATTTTCTTGTGGAGCTACTCCGATTAGCCATCAACTCGCCACCCTTGAGAACCCGGCTTAATCCACGGGGCTGGCTGAAACTCGAGACTCGAAAACTCGCGGTGGTCAACGACACCAACTCGTCGCCTCTCTGACCTCTGAGGCCACCATTGCCCGCCTGCTCCGGGTAATCATTAATTCGAAATCTAATTTGGGAAAGTTTGGCAAGAATCCAACAGATTTCACGTGGAACATTGCGGAATCTTTAACGGGCATGCAAATATATCCCCCCCCCCCCCGCTCCGCCGCCATCACGCTTCAACGAATTGTGTTCGTTCAAAGTCACGATTTGCTTAAAGGACCGATTCCCTTTCGTGTCGTTCGTGCCATCTGGTATGTCCGGTGAAGGTCTCCCCATGCCATACTTCACCGCGATGGTCAGTGCCGGTTGATGAAGGTGGTGGTGGGGGGGGGAGGTTGGGGTGGCATAGAAGTACAGTACGATGAATTTTGCCGCATTGCCGAGCAGCAGCAACAGCCTGTAGCACCTGCGCTGTGCCCGCTGGTCACTCGGCCAATAGCTGTCCAGACTCAACCCTGTCTAACTCGTGACGTCTAACGAGATGGCTCGCATTCCAGCCGATTTGGTCATAGGGGGCAGTGACAAAATTTGCTTACGACGTGCATGTACCACGATCCATTCCTCGACGCACACAATGCAATGCGTGCATGTATCAGAGGTAGGAGGCGAGATGTTGACTTCCTCCACCTGGTATGCAGGAAGTCGTGGGTTCGATCCCAACCCGGACGCCTGCTGCTGTATATTTGGAGTTTGTGTGTCCCTCTCCCCGTGGTCTCGTGGATTTTTGTCCGGGTCCTCTGGTTTTTTCCCCTCCACATTCATAAGCAACGTGCATTTAGAGAATTTGGCTGCTATAAATTTGCAAGTGATAAGCCACTTCGTTGAGCTATTATTTGTGGTAATTATCACACGCATGATGATTATGCATGCATGTACGTTCAACTTATTTCACACCATACGTAGCCAACTAGGCTAATCGGAGGTGTGATTCGCATATTTGGGGCTGACAACGCGACCGACGTATGGAGCCCACCAGTCGCACGGTGCGGCGTGCGTTTGTGCTCGCAGGGTTCCACCCACGTTTTTGATGACGTCAGGCGCCGCCCCGTGGTGGTGGCTAGGCGCGTTTGAGATCCAGCCCTTTGGAGACGAAACATTGGCGGATCACAATGGGGACGCGTGAAACTCGCCGAAACTGCGTGCTGGCCGGGGTGATGTCAGTACAGCAACGCGCATTTTGTGGGGCCATCCGTGCGGAACTTTCAGCGTTGTCCCCTCGATTGTGTCGTGGATTTTCTCTGCGTGCTCAGATTCCCTCCCATACAAAGCCACGCCCCTATTCAGAAGGAATTGTTCAAAGCAGGACCACACCTCCTGCGAATGAGTCTAGAGACTGTGTGATGCTCTCCTGGGTAACCTACGAATACTACTACTACTGCACTTGACCGGGCCAAGGACCGTAGCTTACTCCAGCCCAGCCGGCCACTCCCAACAGTCGACGATGTCTCCGTCTCAATATCTCCGCTTCATAGCTCATAGAATTCCTCCAGTATGAACATATTCTGATCCTGACGGCACAGCCAGATGTGACGGGGGAGGGGGGCCAGGTGTAACGAGGCGAGCCGGCCAGACGCTGCCAAACCTCCGCTTGGTATAACTCGGCGACCCGGCTCTGGCGCAAAGCGAGTGGCATTGGTTGTCGCACAAGCACAGCGATGGTCTCACCTGGACACACCGGCGGCACCATGGTAAAGTCTTTGTTCGTTTCCTTCTGGGCTTCGATGAGCCATGACAGCGCCTTGGCGCAGTATCTCATCTGCTCGTACTACGCGACGCCACGCACAAGAACAACAACAACACAAACCAACGATGGGCACAGCGGAGAATGTGTATACACGTTTCACGTCACGTCGGCCCGTCTTGATGCGCAAATTCCACCAAATTGCGCACTTCAGTTGGCGGTCGACGTTCAAAGGTGGACTGTGACCCCCAATGGAATGGCACCACGCCCGTAGGACGTGGGTCAAACAAATCACTCGAGACATGCCGGTCTAAGGCAGCAAGAGCAGTTTATGTGAACGCTGTCGCAAGAGGTCATACGTTGAGCGCCAACGGTCCCTCGCCGACTGTCCGTGGTGAATGAATTAATGAATATATTACAACAAAATGGTTGCCGGCTGACGACGTCACCCGCATCCCACTGGCGTCATGCCGACTCCGCGCCCCCCTGCCCCCACCCCCGGTCTCTGTCTGGCTGGGAGGGACGGACGGACGGTCAGTCGTTCATGTCAAAAGGACATTTGGGTTGCTAGTGTCTATACAAGATGGGGAAAGCGCTCATTGTAATAGAGCGAAGTCACATTGTTGCTGGTGAGGCACAAGCGTTGCCACGGCACCACCCTGCTGCCCCTTGCTGCCCCTTGACACTCGGCGGGAATTACACTGGGGGCATACGAGCAAAACAAGTAACGGACGACGCAACGATTAAGTAACTGTGGCACATTAGGAATGGATCACTCATTTAATTATGTCCTTGAGCAGCAAGGGAGTAAACTGCGGTTCTGTGAAAGTCCTGATCCACATAACGTTCACGCGAGCGCTCGACACACCCCCTCACCTGGGCGTCAAGGCTGTTGAGTCTCCGCTCCTGGACCTGGATGTCCTGTGCCAGCTTGAGCACCATGTCCAGCCTGCGGGCAAAACATGCAACCCCGGGACGCTCAGCACAAACCTCAGCACAACCTTGAGCACAACGCTCAGCACAACACTCGCACTCTCCCTTTTTCATAAAGCGAGTGCCATAATGGTCAACCGTAAAACCTCAACGCGTTCGTCAATTAGGACTAACCGGGAGGTAAACAAGATACCCTATACAATAGGCGACACGTGCTGGGAAATTGCCCTTCTGCATTGGGGAGAGATGAGATGTGAAAGCGTGGTCACACGCGTGCGTGTGTGTGTGTGTTTGGAGGAGCGGCGGCTCAGTGGTTAGCGCACCGCGCTCGAACCCGGTGAGCAGAATTCCCGATCGCGACCCATAACAGTGACGAACATTTCATCTGGTCCCGAGTCTCCCCACGGTCGACTCAGCCTTAAATTAGTCCCTGGTGCAGTGTGTAAATATCACAATTAGGGAGATAAAGGCAGCCGGGTATAGTGCTGGCCACCCAACCCCTTGTGTGGCGTGCCAGCCTTCAAAAGGTGCTCGCTTACAGCACTTGCTCCAAAAAAAGTCTTTGAACGCTACACGGGGGATCATCTTTGTCTTTTTACGTGCATGAGCTTGACACTTAAATTCCCTCAATTGTACTGCCACGTGACAAGCTCTTCGACAGCAAGGCACGTGAGGAGGTGGCACCACCTAGTGTCGATGAGAGGCAATTGAAGGGAACTCAGAAGTAGTTCTGTGACGTCGGCCTTCTATGGGCCATTTTACGACACTGGGAGACGTTACACTGAATTTAACACGTAGGCTTTCGCGACCAATATTATTCCTAATATAGGGTTTTAGGTCAGATCGCGTTATTTATAAATGTGTCGTAACCCTCCACCACCCGACACGGCCAAATAGTAAAAAATGTGTCACGTTTTTCAAAGGACAAAATAATTCACTTCTTTAGCCCACCGGTGTGCTGAAGAGAGAATCAACAGCATTTTACATTTGAGTAGTACAACGTTTCGCTGATAGTTACAATCAGCTTCATCGGGCAAGAATGGTGAAGCTCTCCTGTTGCTTCTCTCTACGAGAGCTTCCGAGCGGTAATTTCTTCAAACTGACAAGGTAGGATCTCGTACTCAACGCTACGATCCGTATCTGTTTTTGGGTTATGGCCATGTTGGCAGTCGTGTTCGCGCCAAAACGTTAGTCATCAAGCCTCCGCAACATTTGCGGAGGGATCTGTGCCGTCCGCAGAGATATTGCTTGGCACGACGTGGCCAAAGTCGTACAAATCGATGAGATTCGTGACCCGATAAATCTGCTCACCGGCCGCTTCGGACTTTTACGAGGAGCGAATTCAACGTCAATCGACGCTCGACGACGTTCCGCCCCAAGCGGCTCCCGAGCCGCTTGGCGCAGCGACCCTCGGCAGAGCGAGTGGTGCGCCTCAAATCGGCGCCAACATCGCACGGGTGCGCCCGGCTGGAATCTAACGGCGCCGCCTTGCCACAAGCCGAGGGTCGGGGGGCTTGGTGGGGGGGGGGGGGGTCACGCCGAGCCTCACTTCTTCGACGTCCTCTTGAGGCGCTCCTCGCTGCAGTCGCGCTTATGAAGGATGGTGTCGGTCAGGTAGTTGACCTTCTGGATGCCCTCCCACACCATGAGTCGCTGGTCCACGTCCTCCTGCAGCGACTGCACTGCATTCGGACGGCGCTCGGCATTAGCCCAGAGGAAGGGTAAAGGCTCGGCCCTGAAATTACTCGCTCGAGGAAGGGACCCCCCCTGCAAGACGAGTCTCTCCTGGGTCAAGCGAGCGTAATGACAGTGACGTTAACCGCGCCGTGGGTCACTCACTGAAGTGCTTGTGCTTCTCGGCAGTGGCTTTGAAGACGAACTTGCGCACGAGGTGCTTGATGTGGCTGATGATGATGAAGGGCGGCGCGAGGGAGGGCCGGTCGTGGTACTCCACGATCAGGTTGTACCTCTGGAAGCGCCAGATCTTGTCGCTGTTCCCCTGCACCTGTGAGAAGGTGTAACTGGATCCCACAGCCAGGCAGAGGGAAGGGTCACGTGAATTCCAGGACTCAAGGAGGGGGGGGGGGTGGGGGGCGAGAGTGGCGGCGCTGCAGTTAGCGCACAGCGCCATGAGCCCGGCAACCAGTTGGATTCCCGTCCACCGCCAACGCGGCCTGGTTTGAGCCCCACAAACTGGCACTATCATGGTGAAGTATGCTCAAATGACCCCCATGGCCGACAACATCACGGGGTGTACTTCGTCTCCAGCAGTGGATTAACAAAAGGCTGTACGTACCATTTATATGTCACGTACCGGAATATTAATCACAAAATTGGTGTCGTTCGTGGCGTTGCCAGGAGGTGGCGGTGCTGAGTGTTACCCCCCCCCCCCTACCGGCATGCGACATTTTCTCCGGGTTCTCCGGTTTCCTCCCACGTGATGCCACAAACACTCACTAATCGAATCGGCCAAACGTCCCAATGCAGCGGGACCCTATTGAGAACGAGCCTTGGAGACACGGGCTGACGCCATTCCCGGACAACTAATTGCCATTGCGATTGTCGTTTGAATTTCTGTTTTGAAATAAATGTAACCACGAAGCAAGATTGTGAATACAACACAATAAAATAAATGCATGTTTGTATCGAACTGCAATCACAAAACATAACGCAAGTTCATCAATCGATCATGGGTAGTTTCCCCAGGGCCTCAGATGTCAAGAGGCCTCCGAAAGTGGCCCTGGTCGGCCTTATCTGGAATTTTTCCCTGGGCCTCCAAAACCCCTTGTGGCAGCCTTGGCAAATGTGGAAATGTCTATCAGGCAGTGACATTTGACCACCTGCATGTGAAATTGCAGTTGTTGCCCTGCATCTACATCAGCCGTACGAAAGAGAAGAGGCAGTAACATGTTCCCGCGTGCCATGAGGTGACTCCAGGGATTCAGGTGGAGGGACATTAATCAGATCCCCGCACACCCCTCACCCCCGCGCCACTCGTTCAATTGGAATGGTCCAACGTAAATACGAGGCACTCGGTTGGTGCACAGCATTCGCAGCGGAAGAGTCCACGTGCAATGCGGGGCAGTGCGGGGGGCGGAGGGGGTCGTGACCATCTCTGCTCCCACTACGGCTGAAGCCCTGGTGGTCACCTAAACATGGCGATGAGCAGATTGAGCAGCAGGACGTTGGTGACGAGCAGAAAGATGACGAGGAGGAGGATGACGATCCAGTTGGCGTAGGTGTTGGGGCACGCCGCGTTGCTCCCCATCATGCCTTCCATCGAGTCGTCCGTGCAGTTCAAGATCTTCACGGCTGATGAGCCAACGGACATCATCATCATCGTCGTCGTCATCGTCGTCATCAATCATGATAATATTCTAAATCGTAATTTTGACTAATTATAGTGCAATGTTTAGGATGACTGCGATGACTGAAGTTGTTTACGATGATGATGACGGTGATGACGATGATGACAATGACGATGATGATGACGATGATGACGACGATGATGACGATGATGACGACGATGATGACAATGATGATGACGATGATGACGACAACGACAATGACACCGATGTTGACGACGAGGGCGACAATGATGAGAATGACAACGATGACGACAATGACAACGATGTTGACGACGAGGGCGACGACGATCGCGACGACGACATCCCCGCCACCGCCAGAACACCGACCGTCCATCTCGTCGAGCGGGATCTGCCCGAAGATCTGCAGGTATGGGCGGTAGAGGACGCGGCGGAAGGTCCAGTCGAGGCGCGTGTCGTCGGGGTGCAGCAGGCCCTCGGTGGCCACGCCGTACGCGATCAGCCAGATGCCCAGGATGAAGAGGAAGAAAAACACGTCCTTGATCTGAGCACCGCGATGCCGAGCCGGAGGGAGGGAGGGAGAGAGGGAGAGAGGGGAGTTAGTCGCATGGCAGGTAACGCGTGGCAGTCAAACATTGAATAGCGGTGAGAGCAGAAAGAAAACGAGCACAGTAATACGGCCACATGTTCAGCTCTACTGAGCCAGTGGTGTAGACAAGGCTGAGAGCATCGTACATGCAATGCGGTGGTCTAAATGCCACGCATGCAAGACATTAGGGGAGTGTACCTGCTGTTTGTAAGCACATAATCGCGTGTTGTTAAATCAACGGGGGGGGGGGAAGATACCAGGAAAGATATCATCATCTGCCGCGATCTATCCACTGCTGAGTGAACGGTCTCCCCAAGCCATCGCCATCTCTCACGATCTCCACCTAGCTCCTGAAGCAATGGATTCTGTATGCAAGATCTCAGACGCTAAAGAAAAAAAATATATATATATTACCAGGTAAGGCCCACTGAGCTACGTAGCTCTTTTTCAGAAGTGACCTGGCCATCACAAATGATAGCTCAAGGAAGTGGCTTATCACGTGGACATTTACAGCAGCAGCTAAATACTCCCAATGCTAAGCAGCTCCGAGGCAGGATATTGCTTGCGTAGGTTTACCACTCTACACACACAGGTTGTCATAGGTGGCCGCGGGACTCCGCGGTGGGCAGCGATGGTTAGGCTGCGACTCTCTGCTCACACGCCACCAACGGCACTTATCAACGCGGTGAAGTATGGTCAAATAGCCCCCCCCCCCCGACCCACAAGGTGCGAGGAGGCCACCGTTCAGCGCTGGATTGACAAACGGACAACGCATGTCCGCGTTCAAACGTCGATTCTGGCGGAGAGGATTTGGATCTCGATTTGTGCGGCGGGGGGGGGGGGGGTGTGAGGCCTCTTGGTACGAGGGTCATCAAATCACATCGCGAGCACATTTGTACGCACGCGCGTGCGTGTGTCGAGCTTCCTTCGCACCGTACGTGGCCAACCGTGCTGATCGCGAGCACGTTCGGTGTTTGCGCCACTCTCACTGCGCCAGGCTGTCGTCAAGGCGCGCTGTGGTTCACAGTCGAGTATAGTCCGCAGAGGTTTCACAGTAGGGGGCGATGTTAATTTGTGTTTTATCCCAACTGAGTCATTCTGGGGAGCGCTTTTTTTATCTTCTTCAAATTCGAACTGTGACGCCTTTCGAGCGCAAGGCCCGACGATTAATTACTTCTTCAAACGACGTCACGGCACCTCGAGCGTCCACTCGTGAGGTGCACGTCGCCGCATTCGTACGGTCATCAGCACGCCCGCAGCGTTCACCAGGACGACACGCTGGGGGAGCTCGAACCGCGAACCCCCCCCCCCCCCCCCCGGCAACGGGCGGCAAAAAAAGAACGACGCTGCCGCTGTCGCCCTGGTCGCGTCACCGCTGCGAGGTTCAGGGGGTCAAAGGGGACCTCACCATGCCCCCCACGATGATGATCTTGGGTCCCAGCTGCTTATGAACGGCGAATATGTGGATGAGCCTCATGGCGAACACCATGTAGTCGAGGCAGAAGACGACTCGGCCATCGTTAAACCGGGACGGGAACATCCTGAGGCGACACACACACAAGACACGCGTGACACACAGACACGCGTGACACACGCGCGCGCGGACACGCGTCCTTGTCCTTTCCACGTAATCGCAATAGCCGCAATCGACGTGCGTGCGTGCAGCCATAGACACGAGGGACACCGCGAAAGCTCACCGCAATATGAGGCCAAGGATGAAGAGGGAAATGGCGATGATGTCACACTTGTTCCAGAAGTCTTCGATGTACTGCTTGAGCGAGTGCACGAGCGAGATGTTGCCGACCTTGTGGAAGCTCTGCCGACGGGGAAAGAAACGCCGCGTGGTCAGCGTCCAACGCGCTTATCCTCACTTCCTATGTTGTTTGTTCGTTGGGACTTCCTGGCCTCGTCCCGATGATGCTCGGCGAAGTCCCCAGCGAAACGTCGCGCGTCTGACTGCTGCTACAATTTGGCTGTGAGAATCGTTCCTCGACCCTCCGGGTGCGCGAGCCGGAAGGGTAACAATTGGCGCGCTGTGAAACGCCTGCACGCGTGCCAATTTTTATTAAACTAAACTATTTTTATTTTACCAGGTAAGGCCCACTGAGCTATGTGGCTCTTTTTCAGAGGCGACCTGGCCACAAATGATAGCTCAACGAAGTGGCTTACCACGTGGAAGTTTATAGCAGCCAAATACTCTAAACGCACGTCGATTCTAAATGTGGAGGGAAAAATGGAGGACCCGGAGAAAAATCGACGAACCCACGGGGAAAGAGACATGCAAACTCCAAATATACAGCAGGCGTCAGGGTCGGGATCGAAGTTACGACCTCCTGTACACCTGGTGAAGTAGTTAACATCTCCTCGCCTCTGTGGCCACGTCCGGTAGTGGAGGGGGTCGCGACAACACAAATCCGGACACATTTATTGCGGGAATACATTTTCTGCGTCGCTTTACGCTCGCGACGCACGAAATGTAATGCGAGCGCCCTCCCCCCCATTGGCTGGCCCCTCCCCCCCCCCGACTCACCTGGCGTATCTCCTCGCACACGAGCGTGAAGACCCAGAAGTAGAGGAAGATCTCGGGCCCCCGCGGGCCTACGGGCGGGGGGCGGAAGTCGACGAGCAGCACGTACGCGAAGAGGAAGAGGAACATGAAGTAGGTGACGACGTTGCCGAGGAACACGATGATGGGCGCCCCCCAGAAGCGCGTCCAGCGGCGGCTGCAGGTGTAGCGCTCCCTCACCGACGTGGTCACTCCCTCGATGTCCCTGCGTGGGAAAACGACAAAGTTTAGTGGACAGCACTACGAACCCGGCGACCCGAGTACGATTCCCGCTCATGGCCAACACTGGTGATGAATGCCCGGACCGGTCATGGGCTTCCCCTAGGTCGACTCAGCCTCAAATGAGTACCTGGTGCGGTGTGTAAACATCGCCACTGGGGAGACAAATGCGGCCGGGCGTGGTGTTGGCAACCCACCCCCTTGTGTGCCATGCCGGCCTTGAAAGGTGCTCGCTAACAGCACTTGCCCCAACAGCCTGGTTGGGCCATGCGGGGGAAATTTGGTGCAGGTGGGAGATGCGTGAGAGTAGGCAGGGCAGGTAATAGGCGCCGGTGGTGTGGGAGATGTAGGTGAGTGGGTGGGAGATGCGCGAGGGAGGGACAGGCAGGTGTATGGGCGGGTGGGTGGGTGGGTGGCAGGCAGGGCCCGCTCACTTTTCGTCCAGTTTCTGCAGCAGGCTCAGCATGGGGTTCTCCCCGTCTGGGACGCTGTCCATCTCCAACGCCGACGGCTTCTGTATGCTGAGCTCGCTGCACTCCACACGGGGTCACGGGGGAGGTGGGTGCGGTGGGTGGGTGCGGTGAGACGGCCATCGTCACACCGGTCCGTTGATGATCCGCCGTTAAAACTATAAACTCATTTTTATTTTAACAGGCAAGGCCCCACTGAGCTATGCAGCTCTTTTTCAGAAGTGACCTGGTCTTTCACAAATAATAGCCCAACGTGGTGTGAAAATGTATCGTGCCCAAACATTTTATCGCATGTTTCTAAAAGTGGAGGACTCGGATAAAGATTCACACAACCACATGGAGAGAGACATGCAAACTCCAAATATACAGGTGTCGGGGTCTGGATTGAACCCACAACCTCCTGTATACCAGGTGAGGTAGTTAACATCTTGCCACCGCTCGCTCACCGGCGGTTAGTCATCTCCATAGCGCTCTTACATTGCTACTACCATGGGCACTGTACCCGTGAACTTAACCCATCGGTTCCTCCACCTGTGTTGTGGACTCGGCCTAGCAGACTGTTTTATCTCATCCATCACACTAGTGTTCAACCACCATCACTGTAGGTGACAACTCGCTCACGCACCCAACCGCTCGTTCACGCACCCACCCGCTCACTCACGCAACCAACCGCTCACTTACTCACCCAACCACTCACTCACGCACCCCACTTACACACTCACCAACATTTCAGGTCACAACACTTCTCTTTCTGCTTCTTCCCTCCGATTGTCATTTCTTTGTCCCCCCCCCCCCCAAAATCACTCACTTCCTTGTCCAATCAAGAAAGGTGTGAACTCTTATCATACTTTCAACTTTCACTGTGTTGCTTGTTGCTCGCCGCTAACCATTTTGGGGACTTTGGGACTGGGCCCAGCCGCTGTGTTTAGTGCCCGTGAGCTTCACCGTGCACGTACTTCTGCCCAATTAAAACAAACCACCAACGCGTGCAAGCACAGGGCAAATACAGGCCCGAGCTCGCAGTGGAGTTTCAACATTCCTACGCTAGGCGGACGCGTCTATCCAAAGGTCGAACGCTGCGGACCTCCCGCATAGTGGTACCCATTTTAATGAGCCAGGATTGATGACGGGCTCGGCCGAGATTTTGAACTCACGGCCTTCTCGTCATGAGCTGTACGCTCAACCGCCGTGCCGCCGAGACCGACCACAAGTGCCATCGGCCTCATCCACGATCTATCCACTGCTGGATGTAGGCCTCCACGAGCCATTGGCACCTCGCGCGATCTCACGATGCAAGGATCCACCTGGCACCTGCACACGAGCGGATTTAAATCGCTCCATCTCGTTCTCTCGGACGCACTCTCCTTCTATGCCGGCCGCTCAGCGGTTAGTCTCGACCGCCGGCCATCTTCACTCCGAGCAACGTGCCATGCCCAAGCGCGCTCGCTTTCCTCGACAGTCAGCACGCGACGTCGCTAACTCGCGCAAGTTCTCCAATCCACGCTTTCGTCATTATGTCTCCCCCCCGTGTGAATTCTAAGCGTGCGCCTGCATTTCAGATGAACTTCTGCGGCCGTCTGGAACGCTCTTCCTTCTGATATTAGGAAAATCTTTCTTTAGAACTGCTTTTTCTGTTTAGTTTATTGTCCTTCCCCCGAACCTCCGGTTAGCACGGTTGTCTACGAATTGTGTGAAAGACGTTTAACGTTCGCACGTACATATGTAAGTGCGAACGCACATATGTACATGATACATGCCTCGGCGTGCAATTTTCATCGTCAGCTCATTCGTCATCATGCGTGGCCTCTAAGGCACATGTCGCTGCCGGTGACCTGCTCCGATTAAAGGCAACGGCGGGCGTTATCGGCACCGCTTCAAACACGCAGGGCCCCGTACACCCCCCCCCCCCCTACCGCAGCTCCGTGACAACGCCACTGAAGGGGGGTGAGAGAAGTTCAACATACCAAGACAAAGATCCCCCGCATAGCCTTAGCATACTGTTGGGGCAAGTGCTGTTTAGCGAGCACCTATGAAGGCCGGAACGGCACACGAGAGGGGTGGGTGGCCAGCACCACGCATACACACACACACGCGCTGAACGAGACGCCCGGTCATGTCTGCAGACGTGCAAAAACATCCGCCTACCCGTCCGCCCACCCGCTTGCCGGCCACCGAGAAACATAATTGAGATTGATATAAGAAGGCGGACATCTCAATGCGGGCACGGTCACACCCGGTCATCGCCCAGCCGCCCAACCCGGAGGGAGCGAGCCCGCAGGGTCCATGCCTCACGCTTCTAGATTTAACCCCCGGTAACAACGCCCACGCGACGCACGTGGCCACGGCAACGCCGCCGCCGCCGCCACGCCCGGTTGCGTTCCTGCTGGCATGGCACATGAGGGGGGTGGGTGGCCAGCACCACGCATACACACAAACACACACACGTGCTGAACGAGACGAATGTGACGTGAACCGCGACCCGTCGCTCGCGGACGGGGCGAGCGAGCGAGCTCGGTGAATTTGCAGCACCTGAACTCGATGAGGTTGCAGTAGAGCAGCGGAGGACAGAAGAACACGGCGAAAATCTTCCAGATGTCAGTCTCGTTGGACATGTCTCCCCACCAGATGTCGTTGAGGAGGTCCTAGAGGGCGGTGAAATGACAGGAAGCAAGGTATGATAAGAGGAAAAGAAACATCTTAAGATGCAGATGCAAAGTTAAGGAAAAATAGCATCGCAGCCCATTGTAATCTCGTTCTGTAAACGATAAGAAAACCAATCGCGGCAGGAAACTTCACGCAAGAGGAAACTGATTTTACAGCAGACACAATGGTGTGCTACTCGCAATCAGCAGGAAGGCGCGACTCCAATCATGCCTTGGTATATCTCTCATGCATGCAAGGCGAGCACCTGCGCGGCGCTGTGGCTAAAGAAGGCCTCGGCGTTGGCCTCGGAGGCGAGCTGCAGGCACGTGGCGTTGCCCCAGGATGGGCTCTGCCGCACGAGCAGCTTGAAGGTGCGCGCCTGGCTCGTCCGGTAGCACTCGTTGAGCACGGCTGCAGTTTCCCGGGAAACAAACGGCAGCGGCGGCAGCAGCAGCAGTGGGAATTACTCGCAGCGATAGGGTGCATTTAGTGGTGCACGCAAGCACATGAGTTTTTGCGAGCCAGCCCTCCCCACCGCCCAGTTTATTTATTTGCCCATTAAATCCAGAGTCTGCTAACAACTTTTCAGAAGGGTCCTGCTAGAGTTTCTGCAGTGGGGCGGGGGGGGGTGACGATTGCTATGCATATTTACAAAATCTGGTAATTGTTTAAAATTAGGCACCGTGACGCCGGCACACAGCGGCCTACTCTTGCGAATGGCATCACGGGGAGATCTTTCACATCCACTGTGAAGCGAGCGGCGTAATGTCAGAGTTAGGGCGAGGCCTACGGTGAGGGTGAGGCATGGAGTGGACTGAGCCTTCGCAAAGCGACGGAACACCCTCCCTCCCACCAGTGGCTAGACAGGCGAGCTCACTTGCCCTGCTTTAGATCTTTTCTAAAGACTCGCCTGTTGTTTCGCCTGCAGGCCTACACTTCCCATGTATGACCAGTGGACTCTGGACTCTTTATAGTTCCTAACTTCGTGCACGGCGCGCCGAGGTCCCCGGGTGAATCGCGCCTGACAAAATGCAAATTATGATTCATGACGTTTCGTGATCCTGTCGGGGTTCTGTTCGGCGGTGACAGCGACGCCCCACTCACCGACAGACATGTTCTCGCACATCACCATGAAGTCCTTCATCTCCCGCGCCGCCTCGGCCTCGACCTCCAGGCGCGACAGTCCCTTGAGGATGCGCATGGCGGCCAACATGGACGCCACCGAGTTCTGGCCCTGCCCGTGGGTAGCGCGCGCGCACACACACGTGGGGAGAGTTGAGAGAGCACGCTCATCACCCACCCCTTCTCAGGCAGGACAAAGCGCTTCGGCTCTATGGACACTCGCCGCAATCTCGTGGTTAGCACGGTTGGCTACGTATGGCGCAAAAGAAGTTGAACGTGCAAAAATGATATGTATTTTTTTTTACCACTGAGCTGTGTGCAGCTTTTTTTCAGAAGCAAACTCACCACAAATGGTAGCTCAACAAAGTGGCTTATCACGTGTGGAAATTTATTGCAGCCAAATACTCACGTTTATTCTAAATGTGGGGGGGGGGGGAAAACCAGAGAAACTCGGAGAAAAATCCACACGACCACAGGGAGAACACGCAAACTCCAAATGTATAGCAGGCAAGGTATTTAACATCTCCTAGCTACCGTGGTGCCCCTACACCACCATTTCCATAGAGCAGGCTTGAGATGCAGTCTCATTTTGGACGCCACACAAATCCCAAATGGTGCCATCGTCGTGTCACGCCTGCCGTGCGTCCCACTTCCAACTGCCACGCGACCACTCCGTCAGAGTCGTGGGGAAAGTCGCTTCGACTCCACGCTTTTCAATTGGTGAATGGGATTAAGCGACCAGGCGGCCAATGCCGGGGGCGCGTCGCGCGGAGAAGAACATCTCACACTGCCGGGAGAAGGGAGCAACTACATGGAAGGGCCTCGTCCTGAGCGGCGTGTTCTTACGCAGCTGACAAAAAGTGGGAAATCTACGTGCCGCGAAGGCTTGGATATCTCCCAGGGAGGCTCCTCTGAAAAAAGGATGCCCTGGAGATGGAAGCCATTTTTAGAAAAAAAGATATTCACTTTATTCAGTTGTTTATACTCTAAAGTGTTAAGCAGAGGTGCTCCCCGCTTTTACGACGACGTCACAACGCGTTCCTGGAAACCCCGTCGTCGCAAATTGGATCGTCGTAAACGGGCCCAGACTTTCTCAGAGATGCACCCTGTTACCGTCTTGGTGAGGACACAAATGTGCGGTTAAGCCGTATTGAAGAATAACTAAGGGGTGGGAGGGGAAGAGGCTAAATAGAAGAAATTTTTTACATCACCTGTTGTGTTCGCGTGCAAGTGGCTCTGCGTGCGATGCAGCTCTCGCACTATTTTGGTCGAAGACAAAACCCCAAAAATGTGACCTTCTTCTTTGAACGGTTTGTCTCTGGGTCTAGTCACATTGCCGCAAACCAAGGCCCTGAACCCACCAACCCACCGGAGTGCCTCACCATTTCCCAGAAATAGAGTGCCATTTGCCTCCGGTTCTGGAGCACGGCCCAGATGAAGAGGTCCCTGTACGGGTACATCTTTGGCCTCGTGGAATCCTCTTCATAGGTTGGCGAGTCGGTCTCGTCCATGTAAGCCTGCTCCACTTCCTTCACCTTGCTCTTGAACAGCTGAGCGCGACGAAGTTAAGCAACGGTGCGATTAGTGGAAATGGCCCATTTACCCCGGGGGGCAATTGCAGTTTCGTGTACATGTTATTGTTCACTTTCCCAGAAGAATAGGTGAAGAAAATTTATGGAATGGATAAAAAAATATATATTTATATATACATCCTTCCCCAACATACACGTACCCCCTACTCACCAAACAGAGCAAAATAACAGTAATTAGCATTTTGTGAATACATTTTATGACAATTATCATCAGAACACTACAGGTAAACTTCTAAATCACGTGATGCCCTGTGGTGGCCACTAAAGAGAAACACTTCTTTAACACACAGGCTTTCGTGACCCGCATTACGATTCGTTATTGTGCCTTGGGTCATATCGGCGTGGAAGTAAAACGTCGTGTTGTCAGACCCTCCTCCGCCCGACTCGGCCGATCGATAAAATTCTCACGCGACGGAACAAACAATTGCCGTTCTCAAGGTGCGACCGGGATCATGAACACACCCTCCCAGAGGTTCCTTTAAACGCAAGGTGGGGGGGAAGGTGGGGAGCCTAACACCACCAAGGGCCTCGCGTCCAAGCAGCGATCGGGAGCGGCGACGGTAACCCCGCGCGGGAGCGGCGACTCACGGTCTTCAGCGAGCTCTTCTCCGTGGAGCCCTGGTAGATCGGCTCGCACACATCGCCCAGGAAGTCGTGCAGCACCAGCGACACATCGTGCATCGTGAAGCCCGGCTTGCGGACCACGTCCGGATTGCTGCCGCTCAGCGGGCCGCCGTTGGCCTCGTCCTCTGCCATCGTGGCGGCCGCGTCGGCTTCATTGCTGCCGCCGTCTTCGTCGTCGTCGTCATCGTCGTTTTTCCCGAAGAGGAAGGATCCCCCCTTATCATCCTTCCGGCGCGCCAGCTTGTCGCTTAGCAGCTTGTGCAGGACGCTCTTGGGTGCCTGCGGCACGGTACAGCTGCTGCAGCCGCTTCACCGTGAGGAAGGCGCCGATGTTGACGCCGTTCTCGACGAAGAGCTTCACGAAGTCGGGTTTGTCGCTCACCAGCGCCACGTGCATCGACTCCTCCAGGTCCTTCGCCTGCAACGCACAACGGGCGCATGCTCGGGTCGCGGCCACGGCTGGCGCGCTACGACGCGTCGTCTTACCACCCTGTGGCGGCTCGTCGATTCCACGGACGCGGGGCTGGGCTCCGCTGATGGGGTGGTTGGTGGTGGGGGGACCAAAATAAATAAAACCCCACTCACGATGCTTAACTACTCACTGTAAAGATTATAATGTGCCCAGAATTCAATTCAGTTTCTGAAGTGGCTCTCTGCTCGCGATAGCGAAGCGTCGGGCGTCACAACGCGAACAACATCACACGGCGGAACCCAAAAACCACGTCAGGGAAGCGGCGCACGGCAGCGCGACCACGAGAGACACGACGCGCCAGAAACGAGCGGCGTTCGGCTCAAGCTGTCGTTCGTAGATAACGACGCTGGCTCTCCACCCTGAACGGCACCAACGTCGCCACCCACCCACCAATCGTTCGCTCCTCCGATTATCACGGTTGTTTACGTACGGTGCGAAAGAAGTTAAAAACACGTACGTGCATGCAATCGTTTGTTGGTAAACACATTTGTAACGTTCGTAAAATTTCACGTGAAAAGAGGACATCTGGAGCCTCGGGAGAATAACGAAGACAAGCGGGAAGAGCCCTGGCCTGCATCGGCGGGCTGTGCGGCGACAACCGCGGGAAACGACGCAGGGCCGCGGGGTCGCACGAGTTTACGAACAACCAGGCACCTGCGCCAGAGCCCGCCGTTACCTTCCACGCGATGTTGCCGTTGAAGATCTCGCTCTTGGCGATGTCCATCTGGTTCCAGGCGAGCGCCAGGTTCAGCTCGTCCTTGTATTCGGCCGCCTCGTGGCTCTTACCGCGGCACGCTAAACGTGCACCCGGCAAACGACAGACAGATCCCGCGGACGGCTTTTAGCAGACCGATGATGCAAGCGCCGTGAAGCAAGCAACCCACGGAGGGTGGCACGGCGCACGACGGGGTGAGCCGTCGTCGACACCACGATACCTCGCCGATCTCGTCAAGGAGCATAAAACCATCACACGAAATATAGAAAGAGAAGACGACCAAGTCATCGGGATTGACGTCAGAGGGGCTGACGGAGTGATGAGATTCAAACTGACGGGAGGTATGGACGAGCGGACAGACGGAGAGATGCATGGAGGGACAGCGGCGCTGACAAACAGAGAGAGGAATTGGTTTCCCTTCACCTGATGACGACCGCTTGCGTTGCAATCGAAACGTCGTCGTTTTCTGTCATTTCTGTTATTTTCTTTCAACCTATCTACGTGACTTCACCGAAAGACCTAAGAATATAAATAGCAAGAGAGGATTTATAGACAGAAGGATGGACGTATGAATAGAGAGATCGACAGACAGAGGGATGGATGAATAAATCGAGCGGCTGACCGACAGTGGGTGGGGTGGTTGAGCAGACAGTCGGACTGGCAGACGGACCGACCTTTGAAGAGCGACTTGAGGATCACGGTGTCCATGGGCTCCGCGACCTCATGCTCCTCCTCAGTGAGCGCCGTCAGCATGTTGGACTGCTCCACGATGCTCTTTATCTGCACGGGGAGAGAGTGCGTGGGTGGGGGGGGGGGGGGCGAGGGAAGACCAATTTAAGGTTGTGCTATGAGCTCCTGCTGTAATTTCAAACTAAATAATTTTTTTTAACCAGGTAAGGCCCACGGAGCTATATTAGCTCTTTTTCAGAAGCGATCTGGCTCTCACAAATGATAGCGCAACGAAAATGATGACAGTTGTAATTACTGGCGAAACGTCGTACCCAGATTGTAAATGTTGTAGATGTACTCTCCAACACACCGGTGTGCTGTACTAGTAACGAATTGGCATGTTTTGTTTATGTGACAAACCTTACTAATTGGCTGTGTCGGGTGGTGCCGGGTTTAACGACACATTTATATTTACGGGATCTAACTCAAAAAAACCTGTATTATGGATAATATTTGTCCCAAAAGGCTACATGTTAAACTCAACGAAGTGGCTCATCACGTGGTAATTTATAGCAGTGGCCAAATACTCTAAACGTACATTGATTCTAAAAGGTGGAGGGAAAAAACCAGAGGACCCGGATGAAAATCCACGCGACTACTGGTAGAGAGACACCGCAAACTCCAAATACACAGCAGGCGTCAGGGTCGGGATGGAACCCACGACCTCCTGTACACCAGGCGAGGTAGTTAACATCTCGCCACCGCGGTGCCCGGGACTCTGTACCCCGGGGGGCTCAAATAATGTCATGAGTTTTCTGAACCCGCGGTTCAAATAACACGAGCTCAGTCCGCCGTCTCACAGCGGGGCCCGAGCGCCACACGGCCCTGGGTGGCGGCCAGCGTCGTGGCATCGCGGCCCGAGGCCGAACCGCTGTCGGGGCTTCCGCTCGCGTTGGAGCGAATGGCCCGTGGAAGCGGACGTCACAGAGCTGCCTCATAAAGTGACCTCGAGGTCCAGCGACACAGCAGGGGGTCAAGCATTCACCCGACCCACCCTGCTACACCGAGTAATTGCGAGTTCCCAGGCAGTCAAACCAACATTTTCAATTCTTAGACATGGAATTTTGCCAAATTAAATGCACGACAATATATATATTTTGGGTTCATTTTTTGGCGAACTGACTGAGACCATCAACTCATTACACTGGCAAACCCCCGGGTTAATGGAAGGTGGCTGTAACCTGGATTTGAACCCAGGATCTCATAAGTGGAGGCTCAGGGCTTTGACCTCCCTCCGAGCCTCCCGATCACCTCCAGAGTGCAATATTTGTTTCCATCACAAGAGTCTGCGGAACCCGATTCCTCGACACAGCAGCTACGACGGTCAAACATGCGGGCAGGGCGGCGCAGTGGTAACATTTCTGCCTCGTAGGAATAAGAGCCTGGGTTCAATTCCCGACCTGGGTTGCATTCCAGACCTGGGTGCATCTCTGCAAGCGTTGCCTCTGGGTCCCCTGATTTCCTCCCATAGCTAAAGACGTAAAGAATTGTAACTGGTAGTGGCCAACACATCCCCGATGCTGAAAAAAAATGCTGGAAAATTCACTCGGTGGGTATTACACACAGAGCAGCAACATGACCCCCTACACCTCCTGGGAAAAATTGGCAGGACCGTCTTGAAGAATGGTCTCGAGACTCGCCGAGGTCTTTCCTGAGTAAACAAGCGTAGGGATGATACTAATAATAATACATATAAATTCACACAAGTGACACTTTGAAATTGAGTCGGGCCACAATTCATCGCATTGCCAAATGTGACATTTACAGTAAACTCTTTAGACGTATTTTTTTTAAACCATCAATTCAACTACAGTTTCAAAACGAAAGGTTACGATGCCCTTTCACTCATCTATCAGAATCTAACCGTGATTTGGGCCATGAGAGATTTGTGGGGTTTGTAATGGGAGGCCAATTTGCTGGAGGCGGCTGTTCCCCGAGATCTGGCAACGTGTGGGACCCGTCAGCGTCTCGTACATCACGCAACGCCCACACGTGCCCGAGCCGCGCCTAGACTTGCGCAACCAACGCTCACGCACGCGGAGCTGGTTTCTGCGCGCGGAAACATCCACGGCGACCACGACGCCGCCACCGCCGTACCCAAACGAGCGTCGTCGGTCGGCTGTAGTCTCCACTTGCTGGGCTCCAGCCGGCGGTGGATATTCCACATTGCTATGGCAATGAGTGGATGGGTGTGCCATAAGCAACGGGGCGGTGATGCGGTCGAGCGGTGGCGGATTCGTCAACTCCACCACCTCCACCACCTCCACCACCTCCACCACCTCCACCACCTCCACCACCCCCTCCACCTCCTCCACCACCACCATCACGACTGCCACTTCCACCACCTCCTCCACCTTCACCACCTCCACCACCTCCACCACCTCCACCACCTCCACCACCTCCAACACCTCCACCACCTCCTCCACCTCCACCACCACGACTGCCATCTCCACCACCTCCTCCACCTACACCACCTCCACCACCTCCACCACCTCCACCACCTCCTTCACCTACACCACCTACACCACATCCACCACCACCACCACCACCACTACCTCCACCACCACCTCCACCACCTCCAGCACCTCCTCCACCCACACCACCTCCACCTACACCACCACCACCTCCACCACCTCCTCCACCTCCTCCACCACCTCCTCTACCTACACCACCTCCACCACCTCCACCACCTCCACCACCACATCCACCACCTCCACCACCTCCCCCTCCACGACTGCCACCACCGCCTCGTGCCTCCCCCTCCTCACCACGTCGGTCCACTTGTCGAGCTGCTCGCCGCTCAGCTCGTCCTCGTTGGGGAAGGCCGCGTGGTGGTGGGTGGCCACCATCTCGGCGGTGATCTCATCGGGGGACACGGACACCACCGCCGTGATGATGTCGGCGATGCCACCGGAGCCGCCCAGCACGAGGCAGGGCGTCCCGTTCACCACCGCGTCCTGCACCGTCTGCCGATGGTGGTTGGGGCGGGGGGGGGGTTGGGAGAAGGGAGGGGGGGGGTGCGTATGTGAGCCGCTGCCGGCCGCCACCGCCGGGTAATTGGCGTCGTTCGGACGTCGTTCCTTCGCCTCCTTTCACGTCGTCCGTTCGGAGCTTCCACGCTCGCTGATCTTCCCCAGGACTCTCTCTCAACGTTCTGCCAAGTTTTGTTGTGGTGCCACGTTGGCCGGAGTGTGTGAGCGTGGAGAAGTAAGATGAACGGACATATGTATATTCAACTGCACCGATCGTGCCGTATCAATTCTGCTTCACTGTCGACTCTGCAACACGGACTGTTTTGCCTCAACCCACCACGCACCCCACGCTGCTAAACTCTGCAACTCGCCTCCCTCCACCCAAGACCGTCCGCCAACCGAGCCGCCTCCTTCCGCGGTGACGAGGCCACTGCCCGGCTCGCAAACGAAACACTTCACAGCCCGTACTCCTCACCCTTTTCCCCTCCTTCGACGACTCGTACTGCAAAAACCGCGGGACTCATCTCCGTACGCGTACGGACCACCCGGCTGAAGCCGATCGCTCGCCCCTTTGACCAACAACCGCTTTCTGAGGCCGCGAGCAGCCGCAGCCGGACGAGGGATTTGCGGGAGACCGCCGCCCACCCACCTTGAGCACCTCCAGCTCGCCGCCGATCAGCACGTAGAGCACCGGGATCTCGATGCAGCCCGTCCCTGTCGGGCAACACCAACCCGCATGAGCCATTAAGCGGGGTCACACTGGGGTTGCTTGGGTCGCTGGGGTCGCAAGGGTAACTGGGGTCCCGCAATAGCGAACAGCCCCTGTGTGCCTTCTACTTTCTTACAGCCAGAGCGTTCGTTGCGAGCGACTTAGTCTGAAAGTTGGTGATCATGATTATTAGGATTGGTATCCCGCTCGTCTACCCAGGAAATGCCCACCGAGTCTCAAGAATCTTCGATCAGGAGGGTCCCGTTGAGTTTTCTCAGAAGGGGGGCGATGTTGTTGCCGTGCGTCATCCCAATTGAATCATTTGCAGGAAATGTTTGCAGCCTTGGGATGGTTTGGCCAATGTTAGAAACATTGCATGTTTTTTTTCTTTGAGCTATGGCAGGACACCGGGGAAGCTGGAGGAAACCCATGCGAAACAGAGGGGGAAAACGCACAAACTCTGCACGGAGAAGGCACCCCACTTCGGAAATCCAACCCAGGAACTTCTCCCTTGCGAGGCACACGTGTTACCGTATTGCGCTATCCTCAGAAGTAGAATCAGAATCTTTACTTAGACTGAAAGAATCCGGTGAACTATGGAAGAACTTTTCAGAGATGTCCGCCCTGCCAAGCAGATACACTCAACTGCCTTCTAATGTGCTTTTGGGGCAGCGCAAAGTTCCGTGGGGCATGGTTTGGAGTTGGGAGCCACCTCCCCCACGCTCAAACCCGCGCGTGCACCGCTCACCACCGTGCATCGTCTTCTGCTTGGCGATGAACCGCTCAAGGTGCACGCGCAGCGTGTGCACGCGCGTCGACCGCTTGCCCGTGCTGCCGTCGTCCACGAGCAGGAAGTGCGAGTGGTTCTTGTCCAGCGGCAGCAGAGGCCGCTCCCAGCCTGGCACCGTGTACTCCTTCCGGAGACCCTAGGCGAAAGCAGTGGACAGTACAGCACCACACGATTTATAATAGTAATACTTTTCTTTTGCATTTGCTGAAATTCCTCGGCAGCTCAGGGCGCCTAAGGTCACGCATCTCATCTCGAACTTCCGAAGGGTAACCCCACCCCCCCTCCCCCCCCAGCGGCAGCATTCCCTGTGCGGGTAGAGTGAGTGAACTGGCTGCTTGAGCACCCCGAACAACCCGGCCCTGCGCTCCTCCGTCTCGTGGCTCCTCGGTCATTTGAAGACTCGTGTCTCTCACTGGGGGTCACAGAGAGCTTGGCCCAGCTCCGATTGATAGGCAACACGGTGGCTAGGAGATGTTAACTGCCTCGCCTGGTATGCAAGAGGTCTTGGGTTAGATCCCGACCGTGACAATGGCTGCTGCTGTATATTTAGAGTTTGCATTTCTCCCTCTTTCTCTCCCCCTGTGGTCACGTGGAAACTCCGCTTTTTCCCTCCACATTTAGAATCGACATGCTGCGGTAAATTCCACGTGATGGTAAGCCACTTCGTCGGGCTGCCATTTGTGATGGGCCAGGACGCTTCTGAAAAAGCGCTATGACAGCTCAGTGGGCCTTACCTGGTCAAATAAAAATACAGTAGACTCTCGATTATCCACGGATCGCGATGCCAAAAACTAACGATCGATGTGCGTGCTCAGTGATAACACTTTCCTGCTCCTGCGCAGAAGACTTGGCCAACTAAATGGAAAGCAGAGCCACGGCAATCAAAATCAATCAAACTCCACCCACTATTGTAAAGATATGCAACTACTGTACTGTAGAGGTGATCGCGTGGATTTCGGATTAACTGGAGCAACATATGTGTTCGGTTTAAGCACGTGACATGTAATAAACATTTCCAAGAATAACAATGCGATACTGTTTTTAGATGATTATTTTGGGTTTAAGGGAAAATCCATGAGTTATTAATTCACGTCAAAATCTCAGCTGCGCGGTCAATCCGCAAATCGGATAAACCGCACGCGGATAATCGAGAGCCGACTGTAGTTTAGTTTTTGTTGGATCGGTTCGGGGGGCGACGTGGCCGGGCGTGGGCGCGTCGGCACTCACCCGCTTGTTGAGCAGCGCCTTGCGCCCAGCGAGCTGCCCCCACGGCACGATGCCGATGGCCACCACCTTGTGCTCAGCGGGCGTGCGAGCCATCGAGTGCTCGCTCACCGCCTCGCCGATGTGGCGCATCACGCCCGTGTGCAGGCCGCCCGTGATGAGCCACGCGCCTTGGGAGAGCACGGGGAGAGGAGAGAGTGGAGAGAGAGCAGAGACGACGGGGGGGGGGGGGGGGGATGAACACACGCGGCCAGAGGAGGGGGTCCAGGGAGGCAGCGGAGAGGGAGACAGGGAGCGACGCATTGCTGTGTGTTTAATTTGTTGTCCTTCCACCACACCTCCGATTAGCACGGTTGGCTCTGTACTATGCTAAATGTGGTGGTGTAGTTATGGTCACAGTTAGAGGGGCAGGTGGGGGTGGGAGTGGTTAAGGACGGGTTAGGGTAGGGGTGGTGATAGGTGTAGTGATAGAGTTTGGGGTTGTGATAGATGTAGTGATAGGGGTGGTGAAAGGGGTGGTGATAGAGGTTGGGATAGTGATAGATGTCGTGATAGGGATAGGAGTAGTGATAGGGGTTGGGGGTAGGCCCCGTCGGAGCTTTGGGGTAGGAGCAGGGAGTAGCAGTAGGATGGGCTAGCCACATCACACACGCAGGGTCGCGCCGCGCGTCGCACCGCACGCGCTCTGCGCCATGCTGCATTGCGCTACACTGACCTGTGCTCTGCACAGCGCGCATGAGGCCCGTGCGCAGGACATCACGCACCCACGGCTTCAGCTGGAAGTTGGACTCCCCGCCCACGACGGACATCACCAGGTTGGGCGTGCGCAGCCCCCAGATGCGCGTGAGCACGTTGTACAGCAGGTCCGCGCTCGTCTTGTATGACACCCGTGTGTACTGGTGGCAAGGAAAACGTGAGTTGGCATATGCGCATTTTTTTCCCATAAACAAAACAAAATCATCTTCAGAAATATTAAATTAGCAGTAGAGCTGGGCTCTCCGACTGTTTAACCCTTTCCCGTTCTGAGATGTTCGCCTCCGAATCTCAGAACGTGCAAGCGATTCAGCGTTCATTTTATTTCAGGGAGGCGTAGCGGCGTTGTTTTTAAAGACATTGTTACTCGCCACAGGGGAACTGTAGCGACACGACTGCCCCCTTCCGATGACATACGTACATGTATGTCATCAGAAGGGGAAAGGGTTAGGTCATCGATTCGTCGACAAATCGCTCGACTCATCAGATGGCGCGAAAATAGTTCCGGCGGAAAAAGAGTCTCAAATCTGCCGCTGTATTGGAGGTGATGGGCGGGGTTTGGTGACGTCATCGGCAGTCGCGTCACGCTGGGCGTGGCTTCTGTGGGGGGTTTCCCGCCTTCTGGAGGCAGGATGGTGGCACAGCCGCCATTTTTTAAGTGACCCAAGTAATGGACCATGACAACAGTAGTCGGTTATAATCTCAAGGTGATTCATGTCCTCCCAGTTTTCGTTGGCAGCATGGACGCCGATAGAAAAACTGTCGGGGCAAAGCGTGTTTGCGTATTATTTGCAAGTCGCCATTTTCCCCCTCGAGTTGTTTGCGTCTCCCACTTTTAGGCAACCCTTTGATTAATTCAGCCGCCTTTCAATTCGGGGTAAATCCTGGACAGCAACACAAACCTCAACACAATGGGTCAACTTTACTAGATTCGTCGTCACACCCCGCCCCCCGTCCCCACCCCCGCCCACCGCCCCACTCCTATACCGTGTCAACCCACATGGTTTACCCCAAATTCTTGTACAGGGAAATTTAGTTCAGGTTCATACGGCGCACAGCCATTTAAATACGGGGAAAAAAATTCATATGACCAAAAAAAAAATAATGGGACAGCATCAGCATGCAAGATCACAGACAGCAGCATGATAAGTAGCATCATGGACATCAATAATCAAAATTAATACGTAAAACTGTTTATATCTATTTGTTTGTGTTTCTCTCTTGTGATGGGACTTTGTAGGATGAACGTTGAGATTTAAAAGGGCACGGGGTGACCAATAAAGTCTGAATTGGTCTGTGATAAGGTAGGGCACCGATAAGGGGTTGACAGGTATGCACTCCGTTACCGACCGATGGACAGGGCCAACACATAAACTCTTTCAACCCTTCGTGTGAAAGTGTTTCAAACTGGGAAAAACAAAATGGTTGGTCAGCGTCTGGTTCCGGCATCACGCGCCACCGATGCTAGCTGTGGCCGGGACTCGAACTCAGGCTCGCACGGGTTCATAGCGCAGCCAGAGCCCAATGCGCCAACCCCCTTCTCGCTTCATGTGAGTATTTGAGTGATCACGGTCCGTTTGCTTAAAGCGTACATTTGTTTTAGGGTGTAGTTATATTTACCCACATCTCCCTACAAAAGAAAGACCTCTGTTGACACTGGGTTCCTGTTCACTCATCAACGGTTTCTGTCTCTCAGTTGGGGAACAACTTTCACCTCCAGAGAGTTCATCGGTGATGTCACGATTCCGGGGTGCGACTCTTAAACACATCGTGGTAAATGTAGCGGCATCTGGTCACTGGTGGATAACGTAGTCACATTTAAAGTGGGCAGCGACATGAGCTTTCCACTGACCACGATGATAGTGAAACTCAACAGTGACACTCGACAGAGATGTTACACAATTCAATACATTGTGTGGTGGGGAGTAGAGTGAGATGAGAGTGGAGAGTGCATGGAGAGGAGTGGAGTGAGATGAGAGGGGAGAGGTAGGAGAGTGTTTGGAGGGGAGTAGAGTGAGATGAGAGCGGAGAGGTAGGAGAGTGTTTGGAGGGGAGTAGAGTGAGATGAGAGCGGAGAGGCAGGAGAGTGTGTGGAGGGGAGTAGAGTGAGATGAGATGGGAGAGGTAGGAGAGTGTTTGGAGGGGAGTAGAGTGAGATGAGAGCGGAGAGGCAGGAGAGTGTGTGGAGGGGAGTAGAGTGAGATGAGATGGGAGAGGTAGGAGAGTGTTTGGAGGGGAGTAGAGTGAGATGAGTGGGGAGAGGTAGGAGGGTGCGTGGAGGGGAGTAGAGTGAGATGAGAGGCGAGGCACTTGAGGTGCGTTCCGTGTCGTCTCCGTGGCACATGGTGGCACCTTGCGCTGGGACTTGCCCAGACCCTGGCAGATGAAGTCGCCGTAGGCGTCCGTGGGCTCGTCGCTGGTGTGCAGGTCGGGATTCCACACGGTGTCGTCGGGGTGAGTGTTGTTCTGCTGCGCCAAGTGAGTGTGCAGAGCCATGGAGGAGCCGCACTGACATGTCGCCCTGCAACAGGGATACCACCACCAGTGTCCCAATTCATCGTCGTAATGAGCGTCATGATCGTCAATCATCACCATCATAGTCATCATCATCATTATAGTCATCATCGGCATCATCGTTGTTATCATCATCATCAACATGGTCATACACACAGTCATCATCATCTTTGTAATCATCATGATTGCTGTCATACACTTTTCAGGACAACACTCTCTTGCGTGATATTCGTGCGAATTTTTGTTGAACCCGGAACGGGCAGCAAGAGGGGAAGGGGGTTCTAGAATATCTGGACAGCAGCAGGGACGGTACCACCTCCAATTAATCATCAGAAACTGCAGCAGCAAGAGCAGTTACCAGCATCCCTGACATTACAGCAGCAATAGCAGGGTTACAATAACGCAGAGCACTACCAACATCATCATAAGCAGCATAAGCAGCAGTAGTTATACAAAGATTAAGATCTCCCCTGAAGCCTTAATAGACTGTTGGGGCAAGTGCTGTCAGCGAGTAGCACCTGTGAAGGACAATACGAGACACGAGAAGATGGGTGGCCAGCACCTTGCCCGGCCGCCTTTGTCTCCCCAGTAGTTAAACCATTACCACTACCACATCAGCATCAGCATCATTATCACCATCAGCAGCAGTGACATAAGGGTCACCATCATCCTTCACTCACATTGTTATCAGCAACGTCATTATCATCACATTATCATCAGCAAAAACAGGCGTGCCATCATACTCGTTATCATCGTCAATGATCACTTCATTACCATGAGCACTGTCATTCATCACTGCCACGAGTCACCATTTTCATCAACAACATCATCATCAGCAGCAGCAGCAGCAGAAGCTATAGGTCAACTTTAGCCAATCACCACTATCACGATGATCACCAGCGTAAACGAGTCTCCATCATCATCATCATCCCACAACTATCATCACCACGATTGGTCAACATCTTCATTACCATAACAGAAGCAAGAGCATCATCATCACCATCAGCCCATCAAGACCACCACTATCACCACCACCACCACGATCATCATCCTCACGAAGGTCATCATCAGCAGAAGCAATAGATCATCATCGTCGTAAGCAACAACATCATCATCGTCCCCATCACCACCGGCGCTGATCTCGGCACCGTGCTCCTACTCACCGCCCATTGTGTGCCAGCTCGATGTCAGCAACGTACGCGCTGCACACGGGGATCCGAATGTTCCTCCCGATCCAGCCCTGCGGTACACAAGCAGCGGAGTCGGCATCAAGTTCCGTGAGCAAGCACCCTGTTCGGGCCGGCACGGCACGCGCGTACGCGACGGGCTGGACACGCCCGCAATGACCACCGCCGCCACCGCTGCCACCACAATGCACGCTCCGGCCACTTATGAATTAACGTATGTACTACGTTGAACTTATTTCGGCAGTACGTAGCCAACCGTGTTAATCCGAAATGCGGGGTAAGGACAACAAACTAAACACACACAAAAGCAGTTCTTAAGAAACGAGTTTTCAATCTAGATGAATTAAAGGTGCATAGCTCCATGACTGCACCTGCCTCTCGTTTTTAGGCTGAGTCAACCTAAAGGGGGAGGGGGAGGGTTGGGATGCTGCCATGGTTGTTAGTGATCAGCACACTGGACTTGCGGTTGAGAGGTCGCTGGTTAGACCACTCAACGTTTATTCCGCGCCTCCCATTCGGTCGAGCGGCGTTCTTCACTCATTTTCAGAGGGGGACGAATTTCACCGATAAGACATCGCTGCGAGGGCCGTCACACGTATGAAACCATTGGGGGTTTGACAGCAGCACGATGATGATGATGAGGGGGTGTTCACGTGTTGTGTATTGCCGGGGGCTTGCATGCCAGGGGCCGCACTAAAGGCCACCAGGGACCGCCAGGGGCCCGCGGCCTTGCGATGAAAATCTCTGCAGTAGAACGACACAACGGTGCACGCTTGTTAACCGCCCCCTCCCCACATCTGCCCATCCAGAAGTACGAATGGGTAGATCACGTGAATAGTTCGGTCCCCTGTGGTGGGTTGAAGTGTGGGTACGCCCCCACCTCTTTCAAGACGTGGAAAAGTAGGCCAAAAGAACCACTGGAGAGCCTCTCCAAACTTTCCCTCTTGTGGAGGGCCCACCTGCGAGTGGTGGCGTGGGCGAGACATTGCAGGGCTGCACCTTTGCCTTCGCAAACCCAGGGACGGCCTCGTGCCAGGTCCGTGCGTAAATTTGCTTCGAGTTGTGCAACACACGGACGCGGGAACCCCAGCGTACGCTTGGCTCATTCATCCCGCACTAATTGCGCCTCAACCGCGCTCCCGGTGACCAGTAGTTTCACGTGATAAAGATTCGCACGCGAAAAGAAAAGTGGTTGTGCGCTCCCCGTTAATGTTGAACGTCAAAGAGACTCTCTAGGCGGATCAAAAGCTATGTATTGGCAAGCACCTCCGATTAGCGCGGTTGGCTACGTGCGGTGCGAGAGACGTTCAACATCGTCCGCACGTACATACCGTGGGCGAGAGTGGGAGCGTCAGTGGCTCGTGCACTGGGCCATGAAACCGGCCACGTGGATTTGATTCCTGGCTGCAGTGGTGTCACCCGGCTTGAGTGGCATCCGAAATGGTCCTCCCCCCAACCCTCCCCCCCCGGGTCCAACTTTTACCAACTTGCACGACTGGCTCCGACTGGCTCCGACTGACAAAGCGCGTGGGGCGAATTGACAAACGGCCGCTAATTTTTTATGATCTAACATCATCATTGCTGAGATGTCAAAGTCAAGCCAAAACCTGGACCCACGCAAAACTGCAAGGAGGCGGTGCGTGGGGGAGGGGCTGAACACAGAGCCACAAACGGCGACTTTGCGATCGCGGAATTGCGCAGGGCGTCAATCATCCGCACGGCGTCAATCATCCGCACGGTGTCCGACCGACACGCTGCAGGGTCTGTCATCGCATCATCCTCGTGCTTAGCTTTGCGCCAGGCTCCTTTCGCTCGACGCCAGGAACGCGGCCTCCTATCGATCGCACCTTGGAGCGGGGCTGCCTCCGATATTTTGGGCCGTTTCGGGGGGCGGGGGGGAGAGGACTGCGGTCGGCAACCGCGCGGCATGGAACGTGGATGCCAGCAACAGAATTCGTCGTCTTCATTTGTCTCGACACGACGGCCCTGCGGCGTCTGGCGCTGCGAGGGGCGACAGCGATCGACCCCCGGGCGCACTCGGCCAAACGCTGCCGCGCTGCAAAATTCTGCTTCGAGCAAAATCTTTGGGGTGCGGCACGCGGCCGTGTGTGTGTGTAGGACAGAAAAAAAACACACAAATCTGATCTGGCCGGTAAAGCCGGTCCCCACCACGCTCAGCTTTGTTACACAAAGACAAAGATCCCCCGTATAGCCTTAACAGACTGTAGGGGCAAGTGCTGTTAGCGAGCACCAATGAAGGCCGGAACGGTCACGAGGGGGTGGGTGGCCAGAACCACGCCCGACCGCCTTTGTCTCCATATTGACTATGTTTACATACCGACAATGTTTACACACCGCACTCATTTGAGGCTGAGTCGACCTAGGGGGGAGGCCCAGGACCGGTTCAGATAATCGTCACTGATGTTGGCCGTGAGCGGGAATCGAACCGGGTCGCCATGAGGTTCATAGCCCAGCGCGCTAACCGCTACACCACCGCTCTCCACCTTGTTAGACACACACACGCACCTTGTTACACACACAGACTCACAGACACACCTTGTCAGACACACACACACACACCTTGTTAGAGACACACAGACACACCTTGTTACACACACACACAGACACACCTTGTTACACACAGACACCTTGTTACCTGGGCTTACAGTGAAATTATTTGCCCCTCTACTATACCGCTGAGCACACAAAAACAACAAATACACACACACACACATTCACTACACACACGGACACACACTCACTACACACGGACACACATACACACACCTACACGCACACCTACACACATACACACATTCACTACATACACTTCACACACGCCTACACACACACACTACACACACGGACACACACACCTACACACACACACTACACACACGGACACACATACACACACACACCTACACACATTCACTACACACACGGACACACACACGCGGACAACGCCAGGGAGTCAGGGACTCAGGTGTCATGGGCGTGGGGATTAATTGGCCGGTCTCCTTTGTCCACTCCTCTCTCTCCACCCATGCCCGTTATTATCCAACAACACCGGTTACCATGCAACCAACACGTGTGTCAACACGCGTGTCAACACACGTGTGTCGTTCTTGCAAACAAGATCGCTACCTCTGGAGGTTCCCAACAACTAGGACACAAAACGGGGGGCACCACGGCAGACAATGGGGGAGAAGCCACGGACCTACAGATGTCTAAACACACACGACGCGACAGCCCTTTCATACGACTCACTCGCTCATTTTTGCCCTTAAAATAATAAAATACAGCTGTGTTTCTCCTTACAACACGATACGCTTTGTATATGTTATGTATATGTTTATTATATGTGGAGTATATGTTATGTATATGTTTATTATATGTTGAGTATATGTTATGTGTTTGTTAAGTATATGTTATGTGTATGCTATGTATATGTTACGTGTTTGTTGAGTATATGTTATGTGAATGTTAAGTGACGCTTGTATTTTTCTACGTCGTCTTTCTCGCCCGCTACCTTTGCTGTCTATCTCCCTGTCCCTCCTTCCCCCTTGTGCTCAACATCCACGCTCTCTCTCTCTGTCTCTCTTCTCGCCCGCCCCCTTCACTGGAACGAATTTGCCCCCCCACATTGAGCGGTCACTTTCTCTCACCAAGTTTGGTCTCCGCACTCAAAGCCCACCCTCATTGTTCCCGAGCTCCCCACGCGCGACCCCTTGATCTCCTTCTCAGAGCCACCGCCGCCGTTACTGTCCCCTCTTCATATTCTCATTGTTATGGCTCTCACCCATTAACCCCATTTCATTCAATCCATTAATCTTTCGATTTAAAGCTTAAACCATTCAGACGCTGTCTTTCCGACAGACCTGTTCTTCACCTGAGGACGGCTGCTTGCGCTGTGGCCGAAACGTCGTGAGAATTATTGTATTATGTTTAATTTTATTATTTTATTATTTCCCTTCTACGTGACTTTGCCGAAAGAACCAAGAAGATTAATCCATTAATCGTCAAAGACTGTAATCAATTTCACTCTCACCGCATTCAACGCATCTTCGCAGATTTGCCACCCATTGCTTCCTTTCATCGATTTCATTCATCTCGTCTCCACCATCACATTCATACGCTGTCCCGTTTTAAGGCGCTTTATACATTTATTTTAGGACGTGTTTTGGATACGGATATGCGCAAACCTTTTCGTCCATCCACCGCCTGGCCGCAGGCAGTGATCACCTCCGATTAGCTACATATGGTGCAAAAGAAGTTCAAGTTCAGTGTCACTCGCCACTGAAATCGGCGGCGGCCGGGAATCGAACTCAAGTCACCGGTTTTAAAGCGCAGCGCACGAACCGCTGCGTCACCCCCCCCCCCCCCAACATTTTCATGGATAATTAATCAAGCAGAGTAATAATAATAATATCCGCCGAGTCTTCTTGGATAAATAATCGATTCTCAACGGCACAATTCAATTACCATCATCGCGAGCGAAAACTCCGATTTCACGCGACGAACCGATTCGTCCACTTTCTGTTCAGATCACAATTATTTCAGCAGGAAGGGGCCCGATTAGGTCCTCGGTTCTATCGTTCCATGGGCATCCTGCGGCGTGGTAAAGATGTTTCACAGGACAAATCTTGCAATCATGTCGTCACACGCCCAAACGCCACGGTTTTGCAATCTTTTTTTCATAACCTTCCGAGAAAACCCCGTCGAGGTGGGAGACACTCCCATAACGGTGGGCTGTTTTCCTTCGTCCGCGGGGGGGGGGGGGGCTCGCAGAGCGAGAGACCGAAGCTGGGACCTGCGGGGCAATATTTGGACGAGCGTCGCCTGTCAGCGCCGTCTCAGCCACTGAGACGAGAAGGACAGGTCAGCCGAGGGTGGACGGCTTTCGCAAAGCTCAGAGAAACTTTCCCTGTGATTTTTTGCTTATTAGTGTATTTTTTTTTAGGCCTACGGGGAGACGGTGGCGTGCAGGACCTGCTGAGACGCACGCCCGCACCTACACACTATCAACACAATCAAACCGGTAGTGAAAAGC